TGGGCCCCCTTGTCATAAAGAGCCGGATATTTTGCGGCCTTTTTTAACCACCTTCTTCCAACTTACTGATTTACTGTAGAACCTGCATTAGAAGGTCGCCCTTTGTATTTTTTGTGGGGTCTCTAGAGGCCACCTCAATTAGAGGATGCAGTTGAATTTTTGTAGGGTTTCTGACGAGGGCACTTCGGCCCCCTTTTAACTTGCCCCCCCCCCCTTTTCTCATGCCCCCCCCCCTTTGACTTGGTCCCCCCTTTTCTCATGGGCCCCCCTTTTCTCATGGGCTTTGTCATAAAGAGCCAAATATCCCACGGATGGCCTAATCACGCTTACTAGGGAGCTATCTGATCATGTCCCAGAGTTACACTGCATGACATATATCATCAGAAAGCCGATAAAATTCTAATTCGCTCCCGTTTTGCAAAAAATTAAACCTATTCAGAATCAAAATTTCATGGGCTTTCTAACGATATAGGTCATAACATGTTACTCGGGGACATGCTCAGATAGCTTCCTACACAGTTTCTAAGTAACTCAGATGCGTTTTAACTAGAAAATCTAGCGTTGAGATGTAACCTATAGTAACGTCTTTTTTCCTGAAACGTCTGCACCATCTTTGATACTTACGTATACGTGTTTCCGTAGTCGCATGTGCCGCCGATCCCCATCGCAGTAGGCACTTTTAATTCTAATGATTTGTGATTCGTATTGTGTCCATCGAACACGCTTATTAAATTGGGATCGAAATATGTAGCCATATCTGAAAACTGACTTTTAGTTAGGTTATAATACAGAAAGAATAAAGGGAAGAAAAAAGGAAACAATCGCATACACAGGTCAACCTGGATAAAGACAGAGAAGATGAGTGGAAATCAGGAAGGAAGGAAGGAAGGAAGAATGAATGAATGAATGAGATGAGATGAAAACTACTCGGAAGAGAACGTATCTACAAGGGGCGGAGCTTCCAGGTATTCCAGGTGGGCCACCGGGTTCCAGTGTGCCACTGCTACCCCTCTTTACCTTGTCTTTACTCTCTCATGTACCCCCAAGGTTCTTGGCTTCACCTGATCATAATTTGATCCATAGATTGCCTCATTATACAGTGCGGTCAATATCTATACGACACACCTATATTTTGGGCGCACAGAAAAAAACTGGAAAAGATATTAAGAAACGGTTGACGCCATTCAATTCACAATCGAAAATAACCACAGGAGACAACGTTTCACATCTTTACCGTTTTTCTTGACCGCGTACCATCCGAAAAGCGATTTGGCAAGCGGTCAAAACCTATACGACACCCTGGAAAATGAAAAATCTCACGGTTATTAAAGAGCAAAACTGAACTTTTTTGTTGGAAGATGTTAAAATACTCCTAAAACAACCTATTTTGACAGTTAATACAAAAATAGATTCTTCCGATCCAGTTTTAGATTAAAATATTTTCAGACATTTTCATCATTTTTTTTGGGTTTTTGGAATAAATCTTGAATAGTTGGCTTTTGGATAAGATTTCGAGCTGAAAATGATAAAAAATATTTTTGCAGTCATCTAATTTATGTACTGGCTGTTGTTATAGTATTCTGAGCCTTTGTTTGTGATTGAAGCTCATCTGAGAGATATTTGGGAGGATATAGTGACATTTTTTGATGTTTGATCATTGAGATGACGTCACTGTTAATTAGGTACGGTTCCTTAATTAGGTACGGCTCCTTAATCAGCTACAGTTCCTTAATCAGCCCAGTGTGTCACTCCCACCCCTCTTTACCTTGTCACCCTCCTTGTGTACCCCCGACGTTCTTGGCTTCACCTGATCATATGTTGATCGCTAAATTGCCTCATTATATGGCTCCTTTATTGTCTAACGAATGAGGGATGTGTAATAAAACCGGCAGATACAATAGTTTATTATGGTGTAAAGACGGCTAACACTACATGGCTGTAAAAGGATGTCTTAATGTGTAACGAATTCTTCGGTAGCTCTGTTGATGGCATCGTTGGAGAGATAGTGTGAGAGGGAGAACAGCGTCTGGGAAGAGTTAGAAGTTGGTCTTATAGACATCTGAATTGAATAACTAATGGAAGGAGTACGGTAGAGAAATCACGGATTATGAGGAAATCAGAGAATGATTGTTAGTGGAAATCTAATATAATTGGGCCTCGTTGTAGATTTAATTGTAAGGTGTTGTAGTGTCATTTTCACTATGCCTTGTAAAGAAAAAGACAATGGAGAGATAATTAGAAAGAAGTAAGGCGTTGAGAAGACAAAACTATAATTTTGATCAGTAATTAGGTCTAATTAGGGTCATCTGTAAATTCAGCTAAATGTATCATACTTTTGTAATACAATGTCACTAAATTTTACTATTTCGAAATTTTATACCAGCATGTGTATAAACGATTTTTGGTAATTTTTTTTTAAAAGTTATTAGGTCGACCACAACCTTGATTCACCGATTCAATTGTTGATTACTGTGCCCAGAACTCGATACTGCTATCGAATTTGGCCTCGGCTTTATTCTGAAAAAATAATTTTAATTTTCAACTTTATAAAAACCCAGGCAGCTTCTCCGTCGGGAAATCTAGACGACCGACCAACCGCCGATCCAACCGACCGACAGCCTGTATCAGTATTCGGTAGGCGGTCGGTCGGCGGTCAAAGGTTCTTGACCGCTACTCACCTCAACACAAACTTCCGATATGGAGGAGTTGTCACAATAAGAACAATTGCATTCACTGATGATCTCAATGAAAAAACTGCTAAAATAATTTGAATAACAAATTGGGCATTCCCATAGTAACCAATTGACACGATCATATAAATGAATGGAGGAATCAGGAGTACGGTAGATGCAATGAACTGAGCAAACAAACTGTGAACAGCGGCTTTGTGTCGTTTGTAATTATAGGCGGACACTCGTTTTCTCATACTTTTCAACATTCGAAATAGATCAAAAGTTGTGGCGGAGAAGGCGAAACTGGATGTGAACCCGCCGACGGCTGACGTGATACAAACTGCTTCTAGCCAGATGTTGAGAGTGAAGAGAGCCACATTCGTGACTTTTGAGAATTGGGTCAGGTATTCTGGGTAGTTCTGAGAAAATAAAATTCAAAAAAAAATTTCAATCACGCATTCCATTCTCGCATATTCACGCATTCCATTCTCGCATATTTGCACTCATGGCAGCCCACACTAAACAGTCAACTTTGTGCTCGATTATCTCGGTTCCTGTAAGAGATGACAACATTTTGTCAACGAATATAATATTGGTGATATTACGATGAACAATAAATCAGTTGACAACTTTTTTATATCTTTGACAGGAACCGAGATAATATAGCTTGAATTTTACGGTTTGGGAGTGGCTTCTATTAGAGGACATGCGGTATACGGTGTTCGTCGGAAACTTTTGATTATGTCCAAAACTTTTGAAAAAATTCTGGAATTCTAAAATTTCTAGTAAGAAACAGTGATTCCCAGAAACTCAAAAATTTCAGGAGAATTAGAAATTTCCGGATATGACAGAAATTCCTGAAAATTTTAGAAAAATTAACTCAATTCAAAAATTCCAGAATCCAGAAATCCCGTATTAGAAGATCCGGATCTTCTATTGTTCTAAGAAACCTTCGGAGTTCTGGTTCAGGGGGCCGTCCCTTTTATTACAGGAAATATTTTGATACAGGTTTCGTAGTATTCTGAGAAGTTTTTGTAAATTCAAAATTCCAGAAAAATTGAATTTATATATTTCAATTCAGGAATCAGAAATGATTTCCCGAATTCAAAATCTCCAAAAACTAACTAATTTCTAGATAAATTTTCGACATTCCCTTTTCCAATCATGATTTCCAAAACTCCCCTCACCTTCTTCACATAATCCAACTGTTCGTCTCTAGTCATTCCCGCCTGAATCAATGCATAAAATATCCAAAGCGGTGTCACCAATGCCATCAACCGAATAGCGAAAGTAAACGATTTTGAACAAACGACTCCATTCATAACCATCGCAATCGTTTGATGTTTTCGATAAAAACAAAAAATCAATGCTTCAACTTGAGTGATAATTGAGGTGATACTGAATGCTACTTGCCAATATGGAAATGCGTCAGAAAATGATCCCCAAATTCCTTTATATTGTCCACAGATCATTGGAGTTAATGGAAATGGTTGGACTAGGATGGTTGTGTGGAAATCGGTCAGGGCTCCGTTGATCTGAAATAGATAGTGTCAAGTTTGAGTTCAGTTATCTCGATTCCTGTAAAAGATATCAAAAACTTGTTAACTGATAAAATGCTTATCATAATATCACCAACATTTTATATGTTGACAGATTGTTAATATCTTGCATAGGAACCAATATAAATAAGTTTGAAGTGCACGTAGAAGGTGTTTTTCTATGAGAGAAAATACGGTACTTTTCATATTTTCTGTACTCATTCAACTCATTCAACTTGATTTTCTCATGCAGTATTTTTCAATTCAAAACTCCAATTTTATATTTTCGATATCTCTTTCAGAAACCGAAACAATTAGAACTGGAATTTCAAAGTTTCTTCATTCAAATCACCTGAAAAACCAGAATAAAATACCGAATAGTATCAATTTTATCACTTTGATAAACAATTAAATAAATCGTTAGAACGTTCAAAAATAATGATACAGTACCGACGGTGTAGTAATAAATCACTAACCATAGTGGAAGTGCAAAGTCAATCATAAGTTGGAGAAAAAAATTGCATTTTTGGCGACGGAAAAAAATTTTGAATGAAAATTCGATTTATTGGAGACGAATTGAGTTTGCTGTCGGTTTGGTGTAGCTAGAATGTTCTGAAATTCGATTAGTATTTACTTTTCGTCATAATTCTCTTGAAATTCAGAAAATTCTAGATTCTGAGAATCTGAAATTCTGAAAATCGGTAATTCTGAAAATTCAAGATTCTGAAAGTCTGAAATTCTGAAAGTCTGAAGTTCTGAAATTCTGAAGTTCTGAAATTCTGAAGTCTCTTTTTCTTTTTTTGTCTTCCGGGTATCATTATTTTCCTAAAGTTTATGATCTCTGAGATCATTAAAAAATTTGCTCCAACCCGGAAATGAGCCATAAGATTTTTCTTTTTTTTTCTTGTTTTTTGAAAAGAACATTTTCAAAAAAGATTCATTTCGACACCAAAAATCATTATTTTTTTTCGTCATTTAAAAGTTGAGAAAATGCACGTTAAAAAATAAAAAAATAAAATATTTTCCAAAAAAATCGTAATAAAAATTCAAAGTACTGAATTGGGTCCAACGGAAACTTTGATGACACTGATATGACTTCTAATCGGTTTTCTGAAAAAAAAATTAAAAAAGAACTATAACGTTAAAGGTGGGGGGACAGGAGATTTTTCGCAGTTTTTTTGTAGCTAGAGTATGCATTCTACCGTCACGGTGTACAACGCTTAATGTCACTCTGCGTACAGCTGTCGTCCTCGCCTTTATGTATGCAATCGGGCGTGCGCTTTGTCTTTGCCCGCGTGGCTCAGTCGGTAGCGGCGCCGCACCCTCAATCATCGCCCTCACAAGTTCAACTCCTCGAGAGGCATCTTTGAACGGAATTTCGAGAACATTATTTTTTTCATGTCCCCCCACCTTTAAAGAACTGCTTCGTCATTTAACTGTTACGTTATAGAACTGTAACGTTACAGAACTATAACACTACAAAAATTCAACGTTATAAAACTGTAACGGTATAGAACCGTAACGTTGCAACCCAACCTTAAAACGAAATTCCGAAATGGTGGTGTCGTTAAAACCAAAACAACAGCATTCACCGAAGAATGCATTGCAAAAACTGCCAACAAGAACTGTACAGTAATCTGAGCGTAACGAAATTCGCTCATGATAACCAAAACAAAGAAAAATGGAGGCAACAAACAAAGTGAAGTGATTGAAAATTGAGCCAATAGACTTTTCACAGCCGCTTGGTGTCTTTTGAAATTTGTCGTCGAGATTTTTCTTTGAACACCACGAAGAATTTGAAACATGTCCCATGTCGAAATAATGAAGACCAATCCACAAAATACACCTCCGACGAACGCCACCATTGCCATTAGAATAAACCAGAAGTTTAGGGAGTAGATGGCAAAGTTTGTTAGTTTTGAGTAATCAGATTCGTATTGAATGTAGTTCTGAGAATATTAAAAAATTTTGACTTCTCATGGTGGCCTAAAATTTCGAGCTGCAAGCGTTTTGTTCAGCGGAGTGCGGTTGCACAACGCCAAAACTTTTTTTTGAAACAAATATGGAAAAAAAATTATTTTCTCAAAATTTCACTAATAGGACCTTCCTTTCATCATACTTGTAAAATTCCGGGCCGGGCCGGGCTTGAGAAGATTTTCAAGGCCCGGGCCCAGCCCGAAGGCTCGGTATCAAAAATTCTGTATTTTTGAGCCACATTTTTAGCTCTCAATATAATTTTCTCCATTTTTTTTTGTTTTTTTGGATTGTTTGCCTGTTTGATCTAAAAATGTCAAAAAAAAAACACACAAAAAAAATCAGATAAGGGTCCCCTTATGTGTTTTTTGTTTATATCTAACAAGCAAGCAACAGAAATCTCGAGGAGTTGGTCACGGAAATTATTATTCCGTAACTCCGAAAAATCTCCTGCCCCTCCTTTAAACTAACCTCTCTAACATAATCCATTTGCTGGTCCCTTGGCATGCCTGCTTTACAAAACACCACGTATACAAAAACCGGGAGAACTGGTATAGCCATTTGTCCCAAATTAAACAACTTCTCTGGACAAACATGCCAACTCATAATTTTCGCAAGAATTTGATGTTTCTTCATAAAGCAATAAACCAGCCATTCCACTTGAGCCGACATTATAGCTAACATGACTGCCTGAAAATGATTTTTCCAACAAAAAATTCTAATTACTATAAAACCTGTTTTAGAAGGACCCCTGTAATGCAAGGCCCCTTTCTGTTGTTCTAGGGTACCTATGGACTCCGTAAGTATCCTAGAACAATACGGTGGGCCCTTACGTTACAGAAGTCTTTGAATTAGAGCGGGCCTACTGTTACAGACGTCCTTCTATTGTTCCAAGGAACCTCCGAAGGGCCTTTCTATTAAAGGTGCCCTTCTAATACAGGTTTTACGGTAAATTACCATTAAATAATGCGACCAAACATCAAAATATTGAGCTAAAAATCCAGCGCAATATCCCGAAATAATTGGGAATAATGGGATGGGTTGCATAAGAAAAGTTAGATGAAAATCCGTAAGAGTACAGAGCACCTAAAAATTTTTTTTTTTTTGAATTTTTTCATTTTTAAAATAACAAACCTGAAAAACCAAAATGCAATATCTAAAACTGTCCATTGTGTCGGATTTGAAAATTACTAAAAAAATAGTTCCAAAATTCAAAAATAGCGATACAGTACCCATGCAGTGGTAGAAAACAACCAGCCAAGTGGGTAGGTTAAACAAAATTTCCATTTTTTAAAAAATTTTTAACAAAAAATTCTAAAAAATCGGTGGAAATTCTAATTGTGAATCAGCTGAAAATCTAAAAAAACTAGTCGATTTTTGGCCGATGGACAGGTGAAAATAGGTTATATTGGACGTAAAAGCAAGATTTATTAATTTGGAAACACCAAAAAATTAGAAACCTAAAAATTATTGGAATTTAAAGAAGTTTTTAAGGCGACTGAAGCTTCCGTGGCTGTGGTGTCCGGAGAATGTGTTGACTCGAGCAGTACTTTGGTGTGGGGATTTTCTGAAAAAAAGTTATTTTTCGCTACAGTATCCTTCTGCCTACTTACCGTAATATATAATTCCGATATGGCGGTGTTGTGACAACCAGTACAATTGCATTCACAGGACTATGCCACGCCATCATGGCCACTATAATATCAGCTGCATCATCTGAATTCTCAATCTGAGCAGCTGTCAAAACCACGAACAAAAAAAGTGGAGCCAGGAGAAGTGATGACGTGGAAAATTGAGCCAGAAGACTGTTCACTGCATTTTTATAACGACGAAAGCTAGCTGCGGAGACTTTGGTTTGAACTTCTTTTAGCATTTTTAACATGTCGATTGTGATGAAAAGAAACATTAATCCACATAAAAATCCGCCGATTGAAGTAACAGATAAAACGATAATAAGCAATGGATTCGAGGAGTAGATTGAGAAATTTTCAAGGTGAGATAGTTTCTCGAGGAAGGCGGGGTGGTGCTGAGATTATTCTTAGTTCAGTTACAGTAAACCCTGTGATAGAAAGTCTTTAATTTTGGGCCAATTTAGCTCAGTTCCTGTAAAAGATATGAAAAAGGTGTTAACTGATAAAATTCTTATCAAAATGTCACAAACGTTTTATCAGTTGACAACATTTTTATATCTTTCACAGAAATTGATATAGTTGAGCTCAAAGTTGAAAATTACAACGAAAATCGAAAATAATTTTAAAAATAGTGTCTGCATTTTTGCTTTACTGTGTACAGTAATCGGCGTTTACACCACGTTCTCTCCTGGTTACAGTACCCTGTATACAGTACAACGTTTCAATTTCCGAAAGATTTGAAAATAGTTAATTTTTCAACAAAAAAAGGCTCCGCCCCTTTGACAATAACGAACATAACAATTTTTTGACTTTTCCAGGTCAATTTTGGAGTCCTACAAAAGTAGTTTGGATTTTTTCGATTTGTCTGAAAACTTCAGAGTATACTAAACAAAATAGAGGTTCAATTTTGTAGTTGAAAATTTTTTTGTACAAATTCAACCAAGCGAGATGAATCCAACCAAGAGAGAGAGTGGCTTTAAAGTGGGACAACTCTCATTTCAGGGCTAATTCTGCCATTTTCGACATTTTTTAGCTACAAGCGGCATGTCTCATCAGAATGAAATTCGCCGAAAAAGTTGTCAATTACAAAAATTAAGCTCTAGTTTTGTTTAGTATACTCGGGAATTTTCAGGCAGACCAAAAAAGTTGGAACTACTTTTGTAAGGCATAAAAACTGACTATTTTAAGCGGGAAAAGACAAAATATGATACGGGCAACTTTGAGCTAAATTATCTCGGTTCTAATGAGAGATATAAAAAATGAGTCAATTAATGAAATATTTGTTATATTATATTAAATGATTTATCAGTCGACAATGTTTTGATATCTCTCATAAGAATAGAGATAATTGAGCTCAAATTGCAAATTCCGTTCAATAACGTCAAAACTTAGGCATCCTGCCCTCTAACCTCTCTAACATAATCCAATTGATCTTCTCTTCTCATTGCAGATTGACTAAAAACCAATCCAATTACAATTGGCACCAAAAAAGTCACAACGATTCCAGAAATAAACCATCGATTGGACAAAACATGCCGGGACACCAAATTTGCAATAATCTGATGTTTTTTGGCAAAACAAAACACCAAACACTCCATTTGAGCAATTATTGCAGTGATGATAAATGCCTGTAATTTTTTGTATTAAAAAATTTTCTTTAAATTGATTTTTTACAATAAGATAATGCGACCAAATCTTGAAATATGTCGCTAGAATTCCATTACATTGTCCAGCAATTAACGGGGAAATTGGCATCGGAATAATTAAAAGAGTTAACTGGAGATCTGTGTGAGTGCAAAGAACCTGAAAATTGTTAATTAGTCTTGTTAATTGGAGGCTAATGAACCTGGAAAATAAGAAGATAAAATCTGAAAGTGTCAATTTTATCACTTTTGAATAGAATTAGAAAAATCGTTCCGCAGTTTAAAACAATTGAGAGACTTCCAACACAATGGAAAAAGAATATTAGCCAGGATTCTGAGGAATCAACCATTTTCAAAATGATCTGTTTTGAAAAATATAAGATCAAAGTCTAAAGGTGTTGCCTCTGCTCATTAGACTTTTATGTAAAGTCGGTGATGCGAACATTTTCTGGGGGAATCGGATGAATGATAAAGGTGATGGAATGAAAACATCAGGTGGATCATACATTTTAGTTTTAGTTTTTCAATAATTGAGAGCATTTTCAGGGTCCGAAAGAGCACAAAACCGACCAAGTAGATCAAACAAATGGATTTGGACACCAAAAAAAATTGTGATACTCTTCAAAATGCTTATGGGGAAAATAGTCTGCTGGAGTCTTACAAAAGTAGTTAAGCTTTTTTCGATTCGGCTCAAATTTTCAGAGTGTACAAAACGAAAATCGAGCTTTAATTTTGTATTTGCCATCCTTTATAAGTAAATGCAAATTTCGGGAATTTTGTTCCTTTTTTGTTAAAAATTACATATTTTATGGAATTTTTGTCAATTTAGGACTTTTTGAAATTGTTTAAAAAAAAGAGTTTATGAAATTTGTCGATTTCCGGATTGAACCTCTATTTTTGAAGTTCTCAGAAAATTCTAGACGTTTAGTAGTTTTCAGAACTTTACAGTAATCCCAAATCTAATGGACCATCGAAATGCAACGAATGAAGGCAAGCTACGGACGATTTTAAACTCTCAATGCTTCAAATTTAAAAGTTTGAGGGTTGATGTGAACTGGGCTAATGTACTTCGAGTTATGCACCAAACGATAATTGACTTTTTTACAATTTTTAAGTTTCAGAATTTCAGAATTTCGAAGTTTCAGAAATTCGGCACTTCAGAATTTTAGAACTTCAGAATCCCAGATTCTTAGCATTTCAGAACCTCAGAATCTTAGAATCTTAGAATATCAAAAATTCAGAATTACAGAATTTCAGAATTTCAGAATACTACAATTTAACAAATTTGGCACATCAGAATTTCAAAATTTAAAAAATGTCAGCATTTCAAATTTTCAGAATTACAGAATTTCAGAATTTCAAATTTTCAGAATCTCAGAACTTCCGGAATCCAGCATTTCATAAATACAGAATTCGGGAAACTTTCTTACTGTATTTTTCCTTCATTCCCATAGCAGTGATTATCATTTCATGCTCAAACTCTTCTGCATTTTCGTATGCTCTTTGCTCAAAATGACCTCACAATTTTTTGATTTTTGAATCTTATTTGTCTATTTTTTTGCTTCTAGTTAACTTCCGCATCATCTGATTCTCATCTGTTAGTCTAATAATCAAACTGCATATTATCATAAGACTTTTTTCTCACTTCCCTTCATTTAATCACGTACGACTCTAAAATAATAAATGTTAATTGATTTTACCACCCCTAATTGGCTAATTATTTATTTCCATTGCATTGGATCGTTATCCATGTTTTTGAATTTGGGAACAACCTATTTGATACTTTTTAAAAGTGATAAGATCGACAACTTTCGATATTTCTTGCTACTTTTTCAGGTACTAGATTTTTCAAAATATTTTTTTTCAGCAATTTTTCCAGATTCTCTGTACTCATACAGATCTTTATCTCACCTTTCTTATCATTCCTATGCCACTATCACCTTTGATTGCTGGACATTGTAACGGAATTTTAGCCTCCTATTTCAAAATTTGGTCCCATTATTTAATTGTGAGGTTTTATCATAAAAAATTGATTTTTCGAAATTTCTGAAACCTCAAAAAGTTTTAGGCATTAATCATAACTGCGCTAATCAGTCAAATGGAATGTCTAGTCTACTGTTTCGTCAGAAAACATCAGATTATTTCCAAACTAGTTTCTCGTCATGTTTTGTCTGACGGTTGGTACGTTTTCGGTACAATTTTGTCATTTTCTGTACCCATTATCGTTGGAGTTGTGTTTAGTCAGGCTGGGATGAGAAGAGAGGATCAGATGGATTATGTTCGGCAGGTGAGTTTTGGGCAGTATGTCCAAGTGTTGCACAATTGAGTTTATAGTTTCCAACAAAAAATTATAGTTTCCAACAATCAGCCAACTTCAGAACCAGTAAACATTTTTCTGACTAGCTTCTAGAAACTTTTCAGTAAATCAGAAAAATCAAAGTTCAAAAAATTATAAAATTCTGAAATTCTGATGTTTCGAAATTCTTATGTTTCGGAATTCTGAAATTCTGAAATTCTGAACATTGTGAAACTTATCTATTCTTGTCAAATTTCGTTTTCCATCCATCTGTTTCATTCTGAAATAAAAAGTTTTTATGTCCTTCATTTCAAAACTTGAGCATAACCAACACAGAAAAAAACAATTTGTCAAATAACAGGTCACTAACGAAAAACCAATTTTCAGAATTACCCAAACTTTGTTCAAAGCCTCCTGCCCCTTGACAACTTCTCAATCTACTCTACAAACCCATTGCTCATTTCTATTATCATCGCAACTTCTGGCGGAGGTTGTTTGTGTGGATTTCTATTTATCATCATCACAATCGAATGTTGAAAATGCTGAAAGAAGTTCAAACCAAAGTTTCTCTTGCCAGTTTTAACCGCTACAAAAATGCAGTAACAAGTCTTCTGGCTCAATTATCCACGTCATCACTTCTTCTGGCTCCACTTTTTCTTTTCGTAATTCTTGTGGCGAGTCAAATTGAAAACTCTCATGGAGCAGCGGAAATTTTAGTGGGGATTATGACATTCCACAGTCCTGTGAATGCAGTTGTACTTGTTGTGACTACACCTCCGTTTAGAAATTATGTATTACGGTAGGTCAAATTAACTACAGATTTTGGAAAACGAGAATATTCAGGAAAACCAAACAAAATCAGCTAACAAGAGTGAACACATTCTCCAATAACTATAGCATCGGATCACTAACAAGGCTCAAGAATTTTTTTGCAAATTTTTAAATAAAACTTTTTTCTTTAGCTTTTAGAAATCTTTTTTTTTTTAATTGAGAAAATTGTCCAATTCTGAAATTCTGAAATGCTAATATTTTAGATTTCTCCAGTTCTAGATTTCTGAGATTCTGAGATTCTGAGATTCTGAGATTCTGAGATTCTGAGATTCTGAGGTTCTGAGATTCTGAGATTCTGAGATTCTGAGATTCTGAGATTCTGAGATTCTGAGATTCTGAGATTCTGTGATTCTGAGATTCTGAGATTCTGAGATTCTGAGATTCTGAGATTCTGAGATTCTGAGATTCTGAGATTCTGAGATTCTGAGATTCTGAGATTCTGAGATTCTGAGATTCTGAGATTCTGAGATTCTGAGATTCTGAGATTCTGAGATTCTGAATTACTGAAATTCTGAATTACTGAAATTCTGAGATTCTGAATTACTGAAATTCTGAATTACTGAAATTCTGAGATTCTGAGATTCTGAGATTCTGAGATTCTGAGATTCTGAGATTCTGAATTACTGAAATTCTGAGATTCTGAGATTCTGAGATTCTGAATTACTGAAATTCTGAGATTCTGAGATTCTGAGATTCTGAGATTCTGAGATTCTGAGATTCTGAGATTCTGAGATTCTGAGATTCTGAATTACTGAAATTCTGAGATTCTGAGATTCTGAGATTCTGAATTACTGAAATTCTGAGATTCTGAGATTCTGAGATTCTGAGATTCTGAGATTCTGAGATTCTGAGATTCTGAGATTCTGAGATTCTGAGATTCTGAATTACTGAATTTCCGAAATTTCCTAAACTCAAACACTCTGCAAATTTATTATCAGTATCTGTAATGAATGATTTTTCATTTCTTTTTTTTCTGAAAAGATCATATGAAACACAAAAATTGTTTGACAGTGAATCTATTTATTTTCTAAAAAAAAAAATAATTACTGGAGATGAAATGCAGTAAAGTGCATCCCATTGCATTTGATGCAGGCCGGAGGCTTGATGCAGGCTCCGTAATGTGGCTGATTACAATTTAAGCAGCATCTGTGCTGCGGTTTCTTTGCGGCACTTGATGGTTTCGTGCCCAGCGATTTTGCAAATGGCGCAAAAGAACTTTCGTTTCTTCGTGTCGTCCCCTGGCTCACTCTGCTTCTTCAGTTGGGCTTCCAACTGTTTGATGGCTTGGTAAACTCTTTCGACTGCCGATTCCATTCTTGAAATTTTGGCAGAAATTTCCAATAGTTGGTCAGGGACGGTGTCCACAATCACATGCACCTCTTCAAGAAGAATGTCATCCATTTTCTGTAATTTCGACATGAAATTAATCTTGTTAGAGATTACTTCTCGCGGTATACGGAAAATGAGAAAAAGGAAGAGAAGAAAGGAAGGAGCAAGTTACAAATTTCGATAATTTTGAAGATTTCTGCTCTGTCTCGATCTTTTATACCGCATTCATGGCTTGTCATTTATCAATTCTAGGTCTCGTGATTTTTCTTTATTTAAAATCCCCTTGATATTTCCAGGTTGCCATATTTAATTATGTTTTACGACTCCTCGGTGCCGCAAAGTGCTTGGCTGATGGTCGGTATAACTCTTCGGGGTTTTCTGGCTTACAAATGGACTAATGGACCAAATGGACCAGAACATATTTCGCTTCCTTTTACCTCCAGTAGGTCTTCTTTTGACTCCACCGATCTCTTCAAATGCCTCTCGATGTTCTTCATACCTCTTTGAAACGTCGCAATTGCAGCTTCAATGGTGGTCATTACGAGGAAGGTGAGGGGTATCTGAAAATCTTCCTTATCTTCCTTATATATAAAGCGCTAGAGACGTCTGTCCGTCCCGATGTCACTCTGTCGACTTTTGAAAAAAAAATTGAAAAAAAATATAGATTTACGTGACCCTTTAAGAAAGTAATTAAAGAACTGAGCGACCAACAAGTAAAAAACTAGATTAAATCGCGCCGAATGCGCACCAGCTTGCTGGTAAACCTATAATTTTAATTTTTTAAATCGAAAAACTCACGTTTCTAAAAAAATCAAAAATTGAAGGCCTCTATGCACAAAGTGGCCATGGGGAATATAAGAGGATTACCTGAAATACAAAACTTTAATTTTAGATTTTTAAGAATTTTTAAAAACTCACATAAAAAGAAGATGAAAACCGGAAGACAAAGAGTGTAGCAAAATATATATTTCTTATTTGTATCTATATTTTATACAGCAATTTTGGCTTATCATTTATCAGTTCTGGCTCTCTTAATTTACTTTTTTCATCTACAATTCTCTTGCTATTTCCAGGTCGCCATGTTTGCTTATGTTTTGCGACTCTGTGGGGGCCGCGAAATTGGTGGTTTATGATTGACTGCGTGTTTAATTTCGACTTCTTTGGTGATTGTTTCGATTTTCTGATAGGCTCAAAATGGGGGTTCTGAAATTATGAAATTCTGAAAAAGTTAGAATTCTCAGAATTTCAGAATTTCAGAATTTCAGAACTTCAGAATCTCAGAATCTCAGAACATCAGAATTTCAGAATCTCAGAATCTCAGAATTTCACAACTTCTGAATTCGATTTTTCAAAATCTGAAATTCTAAACTTCTATGACAAAAACACAAATGTACATTTATCGCAAAAATTGAGTACTTCTAATCGAATTTCTTGTCAAATCACATTTTTCCTCCAAAAAATGCGGAAGGAGAAAAAATCTAATTACAAAATCTGACTTTTGTTCTAGACAAGTCATTCAAAAATTTAGCTGTTTCCATGGCTATCAGCTTCCAACCTTCTCCATGGATTCTCGTATTCTTCTATATTGTTGCTGCAATTTCTCTAATTTTCAGCATAATTACAGTACTCCTAGTAATTTTCAAGCATCAGAAAGAAGGAAGATATCGATTTTATATTTTATTGTATCAGGTGATTTTTTGGAAGATTTCAGAATTTCAGAATTTCAGAATTTCAGAATTTCAGAATTTCAGAATTTCAGAATTTCAGAATTTCAGAATTTCAGAATTTCAGACAAATCTCAGAGTCTCAGAATCCCAAAATCTGAGGAATCACAAAATTTCAAAATTTCAGATCTGTAATGCAAACTCAGTTCTACAGTATACGCTGATTTCTCAGCCAATGCCTCTATTTCCAATTCTAGCCGGATATTGCGAGGGGTTCTTAGCCAAGTATTCAATATTTGGACCCATTATTTGATAGTAAAAATTCCAAAAATTCCAGAACTTTCTAGAAAAAATTCAGGGATTCCAACTAGCATCAATGGCATTCCAAGTGGAATGTCTAATTTTTTGTTTCGCAATAAAGCATCAAAATATCGCAAGAACCATTCAGCATCATGTTGTATCTGACGACGTCTATTGGTTTGGAGTTTTTCTATTCATAATTACCCCACTTATCATATACTTTGTGTTCTGTCAAGCTGGAATGGAAAGGGAAAATCAAGTGGAATTTGTGAGCAATCACTACCCAGAGTATTATCAAGAATTTTTGAATTTGAAAAATTTCGCAATTTATGAATTTAATTATTGGTGTTTATTCCTAGCCATTGGTGCCTGTGGAGGATCTATAGTCTGCGGATCTGCATTCATAATTATAACTATCGATATATTCCGAATGTTGAAAAATCTGCAACGCACTGTTTCAGCATCGAATTATCAAATGTATCAGTCAGCGGTGACAAGTCTTTTATTTCAATTTGCCACGTCTGCATTATTACTTCTTCCATTGGTAGCCTTTGTGGTAGTGGTATTAACTGGATGGGAGAATACGCAAGGTATAGAAAACAATGTTTTTTGGCTTCTCCAAAAAAAAAGCTTTTTTTTCGAGTTAATGCAAAAATATCGAATTTTCTCTGATAGAAATCCAGCCGAATGATGAAATTTGAGCTCAATCATCTCAATTCCTATGAAAGATATCAAAAAATTGTCAACTGATAAATTATTGGTGATATTATGATGAATAGTTTATCAGATGACAAATTTTTGATATATTTCACAGGAATCCAGATAATTAAGCTCAAAGTCGACGGTTTGGGTGGGCTTCTGTGTACAATTAGAGAAAATACGGCAAGTCTTTTTTGACTTTTCCAGTGGAAAACTTTGAAATTTCTGTAACTGACAATTTTTCATCAAACTCCATGCGATATGCCATCCCTAACCAAAAAATTGGAGAACAAGCTACAGATGGTACTGAAAGGAGAGGCCATTTAAAATAAATATTATGTTTTTCGTTGAAGAGCGGAGAAAAAGGACGCGCGAGATTAAAGGCGCACACACTTTCTGGGCGCCGCGGGTCTCGAAGCGAACATGCCCGAACGGGCATGAAACTCGAATTTCGAAATCATTCTACTTCTGTTTTAACGAGGTCGTGTTTGTTCAGAAATGGCGGATCCAATCGGTACTGAGGATTTGAAGAAACTCGGCGATGATCTTTTGGGGAAGATGGCAGAGATGGTGAAGGAAGTCGGAAATGTGAAAAAAGAAAAAGGAAAGGAAAAAAGGAAAAAAAGAGGCAGAGGAGGAGAAGCCACCGAAAGTGTCATCTAAAGGCATTCAGAAGAACTTGGATTTCAATTTCAAAATCCGAAATATTTTGACGCAGGCGGCAGCCAACGGAGAGTTGGAGGAGGCAGTTAAGGAAGTTCAAGACTTACTGAAGGCAAGAAACGGAGAGCTGCTGCTTCTGGATTCCGATCCAAGTCTTCTGCAGACGAAGGATAAGTTAGACGCCTTGAAGGCCATCACTGGAGTCGATTCTGAAAGCTCGACGACGCAATCTGACATGACTTCAATTCTTCTCCTCTCTAATCTTGCCGGCAATAACGGAAACAGAAGCGGAGGATTCCACGGAGAAAGCAAAAGACGTAGGGCAGAGCAGTATGCGCAGAGACAACTGTGGTTTCGACATGAGAGCACTTTCCGAGGCCAGGGAAGTGCTCGGCAATACGGAGGCCAGGGATTCGGTGGAGGCAGAGGTGGAAAAGGAGGAGTCAAGTGCTTCAAGTGCTCCCAGTATGGCCACTATGCCACAGAATGTGAACAAAGAATGTATGAGTTTTCCGGACAGACTGTCGGCAGCTATTGATTTTTGGGAGAAAATCTGTGACGTAGAATGGATACTAAGTGTGATTGAAGATGGTTTTAAGATTCAATTAAACCCAAATGTAGTGCTACCAGAGCCTCAGGGCTTGAGACCGTCAGTGATACGGCACAAAGAATTTTTGGTTGCAGAAATTGAGAGGCTGGAGGCAGAGGGCGTTTTGATGCGATCGGACCACCAACCACGATGTGTGTCTCCGCTGCATGTTGTAGAGCAAGGTAAGAAAAAGAGAATGATTCTCGATTTGAGTGAGTTGAACGAGAGCCTCGTTCCTCCTCGGTTTAAGCTAGAAAACCTCAAGACTGCCTGGCCATTTCTAGAAGACGCGCGCTATGCGGCCACATTTGATTTTAAATCAGGCTATCATCATATTAAAATTCACAAAGAATCTCAAGATCTTTTGAGCTTTACACTGACAAATCCCCTTACTGCTCCTTATTTTTCGTTTAGAGGTTTACCTTTCGCTTTGTCGACAGCTCCTTGGCTGTTTACTAAAATCTTCAAAGTTTTAGTTCTAAAATGGCGGGAAGAGGGGATAAAAATCTTTCTATATCTTGATGATGGATTAATTGTGGGCAAGACGGAGAGAGAGGTCGCGAGGGCAGTGAGGAAGGTGAGAGAGGATTTGAACAGTGTCGGAGTGTGCGTGGCAGAAGAGAAGTCGTTCTGGGTGCCAGACGCAAAGTTTACGTGGCTCGGTTATAAGTGCGACCTGGTCGCGAGAGAGGTTCGTGGAACCGAGAAGAGAATGGCCAAGTGGCAGGTTGCTCTTGATGAGCTGAGGAGGAGCGTGGCTCCAACGGTCCTGGACCGTATGAAGTTTTTGGGATGCCTGGCATCATTTGAGCTTGTTGCAGGAGACGTTGTTGTTGGCAGAGCACGGTCGATCATGCAGACGGTTGGAGAGAGTCAGAGGAAGAAGAGTGAGCCGGCAACAGTGAAGAAGAAGAAAACTCCAGGTGAGGAAAGAGAAATTGAGTTTTGGAGAGAACGAGGCACAGAATTATTGAAGAGAAGTATAGTGGAAATTGAGCCGGAATTTGATTTATTTTTGTACACTGATGCTTCGACGCGAGGAATAGGAGCGGTGCTTAAGAATGAGAAAGATGATGTTTTGAGGAAAATGTCGGAATTAGGCGATAGCGACTTTGAAGGACAGTCTAGCGCTTGGAGAGAACTGACGGCAGTGAAGAGAGCAGCAGAGGAGCTAGTTGGGAAGGTTAATGGAAATATACAAGTACTTGTGGACAGTCAGGCCGCTGTGAGTGTGTTGAGAAGAGGTTCTATGAAGCCAGAGTTGCATAAGTTAGCTGAAAAAGTGTGGGAAGATTTGAGTGAGAAACCCAATTTTTGTTGATTCCAAGAGAACAGAACGTGGACGCGGACGAAGCGAGCAGAAATTTTGATTTTGGTGACTGGGGAGTGGCAGACAAAGTTTTCAGACAGGCGCAGAGATTGTGGGGAGAGATAAAAGTTGATTGGTTCGCTGATGCGAATAACAGAAAGACAGAGCTATATTTATCTAGATATCCCGAGTTCGGAACGTCTGGCGTCAACGTCTTCGACCACATCGAGAGGGCAGAGAGGATGGGATGTGCTTGGTGGGTGCCACCTCCAGTGCTGTTACCGCACTTGTTGAAAATTGCTAGGAAAAGAAGGCTAAGAGGTGTTTTGGTAGCTCCCTTGTGGCAAAGTCACGCTTCTTATCAGTCCCTCGTAGATAAAACGCGAAGATTCATTAGAGAAATTAAGGACTATATTATCTATGAGAAGAATGATAGTATTTTCATTCCGGGTGACGGCTCTAGGCATTGCGAAGCCACAAATTTCAAATACTGTAGATCTGAGTTTATTTTGGCGCTAGTTGACTTCTCTTAATAAGCCCCAGGCTTTGTAATTTTTCTACCTTATTATTCCAGGTAAAACCTATTTAGTAATAAACATGTAACATAAATTCCTTTTTCGAGTGATGAAACAGAAAAACATATTCTCTTGAAGCGGAGAGAAAAGAGAATATTATGTTTTTCGTTGAAGAGCGGAGAAAAAGGACGCGCGAGATTAAAGGCGCACACACTTTCTGGGCGCCGCGGGTCTCGAAACGAACATGCCCGAACGGGCATGAAACTCAAATTTATTTATTTATTTATTTATTACGACCTTCCGTCGTGAAAAAAGAGAAAAAAGAGGAATACAATACAATCACACAAAACACAGATACACGAATAACTAGACAACACATTCAATTAAAGTGGAGAATTACGAAATCATTCTACGTGTTTTAACGAGTCACCCAGCCCACCCACCCGGGGGAAAAGAGAAAAAGAGAAAAATAGAGAAATGAGAGGGAAAAGAGATTAACTATAATTTTCAAAAGGAGCCAAAAGACAGTTCTTCGAGGAACTCAAGCAGAAGGCAGGTGAAGAGTTCGGACACCACATCGAGAGACTCAAGATGATTCCGTTTGAAGCCAAAGCTACGTCCACGGCTGCCGCTTACAAGGCAGAGAACGACAAGAGAAATTAGTGGATTTCTCAGAAGAAGCTTCCAATGAACGAGTCGTCATTTCTGTTATACTTGTTGGGCAGAGCTAAGCAAATCGAGAGTAGTGCTTTGGCGAAGATCTCGGCTGCTTATCAAACAGCAAATGAAGGCATTTCAGCCATTGGAGCGTCTTTTGTGTCAGACATCATCAAGTCAAAAAGAAGAGAGGAAAGCCTGCTAAAGAAAGAAGTAGTGAAAGTGACTATGGAGGATGTGCAGAAGATCACATTGTTGGCAATGAAAGAAGATAGTCCGGAGAGGAATCGAGATGTGCTGCTGGCAATTCTATCGTTCAATGTCATGCTAAGAGCATCGGAAGCAGCTGAGATCAAGTGGGCAGGAGTAACACAGAAGGACGGGATGATTGAGGTGCATGTAGAGAAGGCAAAGAATGATCAGTTGAGACTCGGAAGATCGTCGTTCTTCAACTACGAGCCAGGCAGTGATGCGGACATCTTGATGTGCCGATGGAGACTCCGGACCAAAGGGTGCCCATACGTTTTTTCGCATCTGGACGGCTCGGAGAAGCTCTCGAAACAAGCCATTTCGACGCTCTCGACAAAGATGCTGGCAGCGATCGGGAAGTCGGGAGCGACTCATCACTGCTTCAGAAGAGGAGGAGCCAACCACATGAGGAGAATCGGGCATTCAATGGAGGAAATTCAATGCAGAGGAAGATGGAGATCGGCGGCAGGACTTCAGCGGTATCTCACTGATGTTCCAACAGCTCAAGGATGTCTACAGTCTCAGGCAGAGTTCGACGACGAGGACGACGAAGATTAATAATCCTGCAATATTTATAGGTTTAAATTGTTTTACTAGCTGTTTGTTGTGTTATACTAACTCCTCATAGATTATCATGTTCTATCAAATCTCAATTTTCTTTTGATCTCCCAAACATTTTCTCCCGATCTCCTATACCGTTTTCTCCCCGAAATCAAATTATTGATTTTATTGTAATATTTCTTGATTCCTTCCCGAGTGTGTGTGAGTTGCCACACTCGGTTGTATGTGTCTGTATCCTTTACACGACCTTATTATTCCACGTAAAACCTATTTAGTAATAAACATGTAACATAAATTCCTTTTTCGAGTGATGAAACAGAAAAACATATTCTCTTGAAGCGGAGAGAAAAGAGAAGAAAAATTCTGAAATACTTTTGTAGGACATCAAAATTGACCATCTTCACGGAAAAAAACCAAATTCCGACAATTTTAATGTCCGGCACTAAATTTTCTCACTCAATTGGAGAACACTTGGACATTTTGCCTAAATTTGTTGTCCAAGTTTGACCAATTTTTCTTTCAGTATTCGTCGAAGTCACACTGGCCATTGGAGCTCTTCATCCGATAGTTAATGCTGTAGTCGTGACAATGACTACTTCTTTATATCGCGAGTATATTTTTAGGTATTGGTTTTTCATCACTAATTTTTTAAGAATGACAAAAAATTTCCAGAAAGCTAGCCAGAAGAGGGTTTCGAGTTTTTGCTGTCAACTTGGTAAGTGCCCTAATAATGCCCAAAAATTTAGTTTCAAAAATGTTCAGGCCCAATCAAACTCTCAACCACGAAACTAAAAGTTGGCTTGCCGCCGTGGCCTAGGTTCTTCATTGCGCGGGAACTCAGATCCTCGTCCCCATTCGACACCTTTTGGTGGCGTTGTTCAGGAATAACGGATTAGAGGTTCGCTGAAATTTGCGTCTGAATTTTTTTCTTTTAAAGGTGGGGGGACATGAAAAAATAATGTTCTCGAAATTCCGTTCAAAGATGCCCCTCGAGGAGTTGAAGTTGCGAAGGCGAGGATTGAGGGTGCGGCGCCGCTACCGACTGAGCCACGCGGGCAAAGAGAAAGCGCACGCCCGATTGCATACATAAAGGCGAGGACGACAGCTGTACGCAGAGTGACATTAAGCGTTGTACAACCGTGACGCCAGAATGCATACTCTAGCTACAAAAAAACTACGAAAAATCTCCTGTCCCCCCACCTTTAAATTTCATGCCATACACCGCAAATCGTATCAACGCCGTAAACATGGTTAGTAAGTTTTATAAATTTTTTTTTAATTTTTCGAATTTTCAGCAACACTTCCGACCCAAACTAAAATTCTCGGATGGTAGAAATGAAATGTTTCGAATGAATTGAGAAATATTTTGAAAACTGGATAAATGAAAATCATATGTACTAATTTCACAGTTGGTCCGTTGCTGTATAAACCTCAAAATCAATATTTCCGACTATTTTTCTCTTTCCACCTACATTCATCAGGATACTGAAACTAGTTCTCGATACTGTCTAAATACTTTTTTCTGTTTTTTTTTCTCATAAACTCACAGAAGTAGATTTTTAACCAGTCACATGATTAATTCAATATTTCAAACATTTTGATGCAATAAAACATTTTGGTCAGAGTCTCTTTGCGATATTAACCTTTTGTTTTTTTTCTCAATTTCTTATTGATCGTATGAATTCAAAGATTAGTTTTTAAAAATTCACCTGTTCTGACTAGGATAGGTTTCAATAGCATTTACTTGTTAGCTGTGACCTTGTGTCAGTCAGATATGTCTGTGAATTTTACCACTCCGTTCTGGCTAGTGATATTCTTCTATATCGTTGGCTTCATTTCTTTTGTGTTCACAGTTGTTACAATTCTCTTAATTTCATATAGGACTTATAAAGATGCAAGATTCACTCGTCATATGTTGCTTCTTCAGGTGAGTTCCAAAAATTGGAAAAAAAAATCTCGAAAATTTTTGACCTATTTCATCTCGGTTCCCGTGAGAGATATCAAAAACCTGGCAACTGATAAATTATTCATTATGATATCACCAAAATGTTATCCGTTGACACATTTTTGATATATTTTACAGGAAATGAGATGCATAGGCTCAAAGTTGACGGTTTGGGGGCCCTTCTAATACAGGTTTTTGGAATATGAATTTCGTTTCAGCTGTCCAGTGCGAACACCATCCTACAGTACACAATTTTCACTCAACCAGTTGGACTATTTCCAATAATTTCTGGATATTGCGTAGGATTTATGGCAACATACACTGCTGGACATATATATAAAGCCACTTTAATTTTCGAGTTTTTTCGAAAACTGGGAAAATTGATTGAACAGCATATGGTTGTCATTAATACTATTTTGGAATGTCAATTAGCGAATATCATTTGATATCGCTATCGTTTCTTTATTTTGGGAATTTCGAAAAAATCGAAAAAATGACACAAAAAAGTGGACATAATTATAAAGCCACTTGAAACAATCCAATATAACTTTAGATCTAGATATTAAAATGTGAGGAAACTACAAAATATAGCAAATACAACTCAATATAGTCTTACTAACATGAGAAACTTGGTTGTATCTGTAGTCATAATTTTGTCTCATCCGTTTTTGGCCAACTTACACTGAATGTGAAGTTTTTCGTTAGTAGCTGTTCTGAAAATTTTGAGTGTTTTAGTATTATTCTCAAATGCATCACTTATTTAACTATCGAAAACATCATGATTTTTTCACCAACCGAAACAAAAACTTGCATTTCAATTCATTTTGGTCGCTATCTTCCGCGTGATACTGTACCTTGCTCAGTAGACATTTGACTCAGCTGATTAGCATAAAAGGAAGATACGCTTGTGTTAATTTAGGAACATATATAAAACAATGGAAAACTGTATCTGTGTTCATAGAATCACGCAAATTTTCGGACCACATAAATTTCAAAGAAAACATTGGGTTATGGGTAGTCATGTTTTAGGAGTTGTTTTGTGAGGAAGGAGTCACGCAATCTGAAATTTCTTTCTATAATCACACTTGCCGGTTCTTGAATTTCCATATAAACTAGAAAGATTGCTCAAGCATTACGGCATAGACAAACAATAAACCCTGGAAAACTGCCATTTTTTGAAAAACATAACCTATTTCCGAGCTCTCAATTTTTGTTTAGAAACCGTTTCATTTATTTTAAAGATGCTGAACATACAAATGTTCGTTTGCGAAATGTCCCGGAGCCGAAAAAACAATACGATAAACGAAGTGTTTTTAATAAGATCTCCAGACGTTGTCTCCTAGTCATCTGGGTCTTTATCTCCGAGTTTCGATTTGTACTCTTCCCACGTCAAATATGATGAACACTCCGATCTCTTCTGCAAAAAGTTGAATTTTAGATTTGATGTAAAGAATATTAGTAATCTCACCTTGCAATTGACAAGAATCCCATTTTTTTTTGTCAAAATGATAAGTGCGAAGAAGTTGCCTGAAAAATATCTATTTTTGGAGAAAATTTTTCTCCTCTCTCAAAATGAAACATAACGAATCTCATCATTTTCTAGCTCACCAATGGCTTCTCGCTTTTTGTTAGGTTGACACGATTCCACTCATCGATGAAACTCATCCTACTGTTCTATCGTTGAAAACTGAAAAAAAGGATAAGAAACTAACAGTATTTGAAAAAATTCAGATATAATCGCAAGAAAATTCATAGAAAACGTATGGAAAATATGTATAAAACTCATAACCGTTAAAAAATGTTGCATCACCGCAACGTTCTGAGCTTCTGCCCAGCGTTTGCCCAGCATTTGCCCCTCTGCGCGCAGTTGGACTTTTGCCCAACTTCTGCCCAGCTTCAGATCAAAGTCTGCCTGCAGTCCAATTCACCCAACTTCTGCCCCAAAGTTGCCCACATTTACCGAGAGATTCTCCCGTTCTCAGATTCCTAACTTCGGAGAACTTCGGAGACTTACTAAAATTTAGAGATGGATTCCAGATATTGATAAAAATTTTAACATCTGAAATTTCAGCTTATTGTCAAATAATCATATCCATGTGCGCCCTGAATCACATAATAAACACTCCAATTCTAATTTGGACCACTCCTCAATTTCGAAAAGTGTTCTCAAGGTCCGCTGAAATTTTTTGTCTGAAACTTTTTTTTCTCATAAAATTTCAGAACATCCGCCACAAATCGCATCAACTCTGTTAACATAGTGAGAAAATTGAAAAAACAAATTAGAAATTTTGAATTTTCAGCCTCAATTTCGACTTAAACTCTCGGATGGTAGAACTGAAAATTTTCGAATGAATTGATGGAAAAAGAATAAAAATTATATGTAATTTCATAGAAATTACATGTTGTCCATATACGTATGAACCTAAAAAATCAAATTAGGAATCGAAACTTCTGCCACTTCCACCTGTTTTCTGAAACTAGTTCTGGACCTTATATAAATATTTCTTAACAGATTTTTTTTCAAAAAATCATGAAAATAGATTTTCAACCAGCTTCATGGATAATTATTAGCTTTTATACAATTGGAATAATTTCATTTTTATTCAGTTCCATCACAGTTTATTTAATTTTGACCAAGAGTCAAAAGGAAGGTCGATATCGATTTTATAATTTACTTTTTCAGGTGAAACACTTTTTCAGACATTTCGATCTATCAAGTTTGATCCAATTTACCTCGGTTCCTTTGAAAGATATCAAAAAGTCGCCAATTAAAAAAATATTGCTGATATCATGATAACTAATTTACCAGTTAATCACTTTTTGATGTCTTTCACAGAAAATGAGATATATGTATGGGATCAAAGATGACGGTTTTTTCAGATCTCCAGTGCCAATTCCGTTTTGCAATACACTATTTTTTCTCAACCAATGCCATTGTTTCCGATTCTTGCTGGGTATTGTGAAGGGTTTTTGGCGAAATATCTGGGAATTTGGAGCCATTATTTGATAGTTAGTTTTTGTATGAAACTTATGAAAATTCAAAAAACCACAAAATTAGATCATAGGAATGCATTGACCGCTGACTTTGCGTTTTTTCAATTCCATTCTTTTTCAAAATTTTTAAGAGTTTTAAAAATTAATTTTCCATCTAATTAAAATGTTTTTTTTTCAGTGAAATTCGAAATTTCGGAAACTTCAAAATTCAAGTTTTGAAGTTCCAAGGTTGAGAAAAAAGCAGTAGTTCAGAAATGCTGAATTTTCTAAAGTACTTTTTTCTTATGGAATTCCGGCAAAGTCCTGTAATACGGTAAAACTTGTACTAGTAGGGTCTTTTGTTGTTGCAAGGTACCATTGGAGCCCTTCAATTAGAGGTGCACTTTTGTTTTTGAGGGCATTTTTCCAAAAGTTTTAGTCTGAAAATTTGGTGCTTGCTCAAAATGTTCTTGTTCAAAATTCATTAAAATCTATTAATTTACTGAAAAGGTTTTGAGGAAAAAACAAGTTTCTGAGAAGTTTTGTAACTTCCGGAATTTTTTCACTAAAAGATGAGGAAGATTTTAGTTTAAAGCAACAGTTTTTAGAACCGACACCTATTAGAGGGTATGGTTTCCATTTGGGCGGGTGGAAAGAAGTGCCACTTTGGGCGGGTGGAAAGAAGTGCCCGCCACCCGCCGGGGGGGGGGGGGCTCCCACCCGCGGCCCCCCGTGACCCCCCGCGATTATGTGCGTGTGAATTTTTTCAATAATTTTTAATGATATTCACGTATTTTCCAAGAAAAATTGAGTTTCTTAAATCAAAAAAGAGCAAAAAAGACAACATTTTCCTCACGTAAATAATCGCGGGGGTGAGCCCCCGGGTGGGCACGGGCGGGTGAATCGCCTCCCAAATGGAAACCCAATAGAGAGGTTCTTCTATTAGAGGAACCCTTCTGATGCCGGTTTTACAGTAATTGTTGTACATTATTAATTTCTTCACACAGGGTCTTCAACTCTCTTCAATGATATTTCAAGTTGAATGCCTTGTATTTTGTTTTGCGATAAAACATCAAAACATTGGACGAGTTATAAATTATAATGTTGTATCCGACGACTACTACTTCGTCGGAATCGTACTTTTCATAATTTCTCCAATTGGTGCTTTTATAGTTTTTGTGCAATCCGGAATGAAAAGAGAGGACCAAATGGCTCATATAGTATCAAAGTGTCCAGAATTCATAAACCAGTTTTCTACACTTTCAAATTTCGCAATCTATGAATTCAACATTTGGAGCTTATTTCTAGCAGGAGGAGCTTGTTTAGGAGCATTGGTCTGTGGAGCAGCTTTCACTTTGATCACAATGGACATCTTTAGAATGCTCAAAACTTTACAGAAGAAAGTTTCGGCGACTAGTTTTAAAAAGTACCAAAATGCTGTGAAAAGTTTGTTAGTTCAATTTGCAACGTCTGGATTGTTATTGGTTCCGCTGTCTGGTTTTGTGTTATTCACGCTGTTTACTTTCGAAAGAGCACAAGGTATGTAATTTAGAATTTGAACTTAAATACTAGTCATAAGCTGTAATTTTATGATGTGTCATGACAATTTCTGAGCACAAAAACAAAGTTGAGAAATTTTCTCAAAGTTCAAAATGATCAGATGATGTTAAGTTCAGAAATTCGAAGCCCGTAATAGAAGGCCCCCCCCCCTAACTATGAACTTCGAGCCAATTTATCTCAGTTCCTGTTCGCGATATCAAAAAGTCGCCCACTGATAAATTTCTTATCATAATGTCACAAACATTTTATCAGTTGACACATATTACATATCTATCACATGAATCGAGATATATGGGCTCAAACTTGACAGTGTGGGTGCTCTTCTATAACGGGTTTGACGGCAATTCGTCCAAATTGTCTATTTGTTTCAGTTTTTGTCGAAATCACTTTACTAATCGGAGCCCTCCACCCAATTGTAAATGCTATCGTTCTAACAATGACAACTTCTCAATTTAGAGATGTTTTATTCGGGTGAGATTTGTTTTGTTTCTACAGTAATCCAAGTTTTTATTTTTTGAATTTCAGAAAATCTTCAATTTTCTGGATTTTTCTTTTTAAAAAAGTAATTGAGATTCATCCTAAAAGTGTAATGCATACAGATATGGCAACAAGGACAATGAATTAACTTTTCAATTTAAAGAAAATAAACTTTTGAGTCTTGTCAATGAATTTGGACCAGGATACATTGTACGAGAAGCTCGACGGGATATTGTATGTTTCCTAAATTAGAAAATATTTTCAAAAATTCAAAATTCAACTCACCTCATCACAAAATTTCTGTACGGTGGAGTTGTGAAAACCAGAACCAACGCGTTAACTGGAGAATATAATGGCATGACAGCCACCAGAACTTTTGCAGCCCAATTTGAATTTTCGATTTGGGAAGCAGCGAGAACCAGGAAGATAAAAAGTGGAACTGATAACAAAAATGAGGTGCTGAACTGAGCCAAAAGACTGATAACAGCGATATGATATCTGCGAAAACTGGTTGCTGATACTTTTCGTTGAATGTCTTTGAGCATTTTGAGCATGTCCAATGTGAGTAGTATGAAGATGATTCCACAGAGAAGACCTCCTGTGAAGGTTAGGGCGAGCATTGTGATAAGGCGATAGTTTACGGAATAGACCACAAAGTTTTGGAGAGATGAAAACCCGGAGATGTATTCCGGAAGATTCTGGAATTAAAGAAGATAATCTTAAGCTGTATTTTGACCAGCCATCTGCTTCCCGCGCCTCCGGCGCTTCAATCAGCTAGCTGGGGCGTCTTCGGCGCGATTTAATCTAGTTTTTTCTGGTTTGTCGCTCCGTTTCTCACGTTTTTTTAAGAGTCACATAAACCTATACTATTTTCCAAGCTTTTCAAAACAAGACAACGTGACACGGGGACCAACAAACTCTTCCAGCGTTTTCTATACCAGCCTGTTTGCCGCGCCTCCGGCGCTTCAAACAGCTGGCTGGTGCGCCTTCGGCGCAAATTGGCCTTTCTCTTTTTTTCGTCGTTTCGCGACTCACTCTTTTTTTAATGTCACGTAAATTTATATTTTATTTCAACTTTTTCAACATGAGCGGACAAACAGAGAAAGAGACGCAACTTCATTTATTTATATAAGAATGATAAGGAAATTTCTATTTGCAGGAAATATAAAATAACGTGCAGTTTAAATTTATAAAATTTTTATCATTTTCTAGGCCACCATGATTATTAACCCAGAAATGACCTGATAATCATCTGGTTTAATTTCTAATTTTGACATTTTAGCCTAACTTTTGCAAGCTGGATTTTCTAGGCCACCTTTTTTTTGCCTAAAAATGGCATAATATGGCCCTGTCGGGTTTTTCAGGTTATTCTGACGTGGTGGTCTAACTTTAGCAAGTTGGGGTTCCTAGGCCATCACGTTAAATGACCTGTTATGACCTGATACTCACCTGGTATGTTTTCTAGGCCATTTTAACATTGTAACCTAACTTTCGCAAGTTGAGTTTTCTAGGCCACCATTGTTCATAGCTTAGCACAAGCATGATATTACGCTAGGAGTTCACTAGACAATCTTAGCCTGATGGCCTAACCTTTGCAAGTTGAGATTTCTAGGCCACCATGGTAAATTGGCTAGAAAACACAATGTAATGCCATTTCTAGGCCATAAACCTTGCTGGCCTAGAAAATTCAAGTTAAAAAAATAGGACCATGCGCTTTTAAAGTTTCTGGATTTCTCAAAAACAGAAAAATCCCATTTTTGAAAAATCTGAACATTTTAAATGCGCACGGACGGCACAAGACTAGAATTTTGATTCTGGTTCTATAATGCGCCTTTAAACAGTTTTTGGCTTTAATGGTAAGTTTCATGGATAGGAATAACAATCACGATTTTAAAAATTCTAGAACACTTTCATTTCATTTTTAGAACTTCAAAAAATTCCAGCCTACCTCCCGAACATAATCCATCTGATCCTCTCTCCTCATTCCAGCCTGACTAAACAAAAAACCAATTGCGATTGGTGTAGAAACTGCGAAACTTGTTCCAAAAATATACCAAATATCTGTGATAACATGTCGAAATGTTAGTTTTGCAATCGTTTGATGCTTTCGAATAAAACAAAAAACCAAACATTCGATTTGAACAATAAATGAGGAAGTTAAGAAAGACTGAAATTTTTGGATTGAATTTTCAAAATGTTGTTTTTTTATCTCTCACAATCAGATAACTTGCCCAAATTTTAGATGCTAGAAATCCATTACAGTAACCAGCTAACAGAGGAGATAATGGAACTGGTTGCATGAGAAAATTGAATTCCAGATCTGAATGAGTGCAGAGAACCTGAAAATTATTTTTGAATATTTTCAAAAAACATTTGGGAAAAAACCTGAAAAAGCAGTAGGAAATGTCTGAAATTGTCGATTTTTTCACTTTTCCAAATTATCAAATAAATGGTTCCAAGATTCAGAAAAAATGAAATAGTACCCATAAACTCTAGATAGAATATTAGCCAGGTAGGTGTCGAAAAATCAACATTCATTTTTTTTCAATTCTGAAAAATGAAGAATGACTGAAATTCACTAATTCAACTACTCACCCAACCTTCTCTGAAAAGTGTATTGGAGCGAGGAATGAGAAAAACTAAAAGATGAAAAACTCACGAAAATTTGTGTGTGTGTAGCTTCCTTTTTTTCTATTTTTGGGGGACTAATGAGGAAGAAAAGGTAATTCGGGAAGCTTAAAATCATTGAGCTAGAAAATAAAACTTGGATGTTTTTCTACATTTTGGGTCAAAGTTTAAGAACAAAAATTATCTGAAGTTTTCAATAAAAAGTATTATTCACCTTCAAAAATCGAAGCTGTATGTATACCAGAAACACCGGTGGTCGTGGCCGAAGGTCCCACAACGACAACTACAGTAACCTAAAAATATTTTCACTGGTTTTACTAGAGTTTCTGTTATTTTCCTCAAAAAAAGTCTGAAATAAAGCTGAAAAAACCGACTGAAAACGAACGAAAATCGAGATAATATATTCGGAAATTTGAAAATATTTTTAGGTTACGGTAGTTGTATTGGAACCTGCGGCCACGGCCACCGGCGTTTCTCTCTCACAGATCCTAATTTTGTACCAGAATGATAGTAGATCAAATTTGAGCTTTGAATACATGTAAAAACATAAATTCCCGCTTTTCTGAAATTTCTAAACTTTCATTACTCGTTCTAGATAATATATAAGCCTGAACAACTAAACAAAAATAGCTATGAAACTTTTCCACTCCGAGTTTCGAGCAGCAAGTTAGTCCAGAATTCCTGAAAATTTTAGTGTAGAAAGTTTTGAGAACTTTTAGAGAAATAAGTTAGAATATCTATGAAAAGTCAATTCAGTAAGAATCGATTTATTTTACAACGAAGGAGAGATGGACCATATAGGCAAAAAAATCATAAAGAGAATGATAAAAAAAAGACAAGTGACCTGGATAAATAAAACTTATTAAATGATAAAGACATCATTGTAGCAAATGATAAGAAAATATCAGGAGCATGAAGCCAATTCAAATTTCTGTAGTTGTCAGCGGAATGAGCTCAAATTCAATTTTCCGTGCTTCCGCAATCATCGAGAAAACTGGGATTTTGATGACGAATTCAGCAGGGAGTTGGTCTGAAAGTGATTCTTTATCATTGGAGGAATCTTCAGAGAAAAATGTAATTAACCATCGGAGCATTGGACAAGAACAGTTTGCTCCAGTTGCTCAGCTTCTTTTGGAATCGGATCAACAGAGGAGACGACATGGGTTTCCGCAGGAGAGACACTTCCACTCTAGAAACAAAACAGATTAAAGTAGCAATTAGGGTTAAGGCTTTTATTTCGGTAGGTCGAAAATCGGTGACCGCCGACCGAGCTGACCGAACTCGTGAATTTGCGCGTTAACATGCCAGAGAGTGTTTTCACGGATCCGGTCGGCGCCCCGACCAATCTGTCCGTCAGCTTGGCCGGTTGTCGGTCGGCCGGGTCGGCGGTAGGACCGAATGGAAGCCTTAATTAGCATTTCAATGTGTCTTACCGTCTCGGAATCATTCGGATTCTCGGAATCAATACTCTCTGCAGTAGCTTGCTCCACATGACTAGCAATGATTTTCATAAACTCTTCTGCATCCTCCGCTCCCATCGAATTCATTTTGTCATGACGAATTGAATGCATCAGAAGATTCTCTACACTTCGAGAACGATATCCACACTCGGAGCACTTTTGAGTAGCTTGTTGTGATTCAAAATCTCCTGTCGGATCGATCAATCGCTTATTAGTGGATTTTGGAGTGAGCGGAGCATCAATAACGATTCCATGCATTTTGAACATATGAGTTCGGAGGAAATACTTATTGCAAAGCTGTTTTTTGCAAATATCGCAGTAGTTCTTTCTATTGGCCGTCTTGTTAGGGGTTGTCTGCATTTCTGGGACCATCAATGGAAGATTCAGAGATTGTGGAAAGAAGTTTTGGAGCATTTGCTGGAGAAAGTTCTCGTTTTGAAGATTCAGTGGATCGTTGGTTGTTTCGTTTTCTTCAAATCTCTGCTTCTTGGCCACTGGTTCACTGATAGCTTCTGATGAGGCAGTGAAGATCATAGAAGGCATGGAAGCGGTTGTATCCATGATGGCTCTGAAAAATTACAAGAATGTAGGATGAGATTTCTGTAGAAAAAAAAAGATAACCGTATGGAAAATGGCAAAAAAACATGTTGTTCCAAAATCCGTAAATAAAATCAATAGGAGAACAACGATCCCCAGGGGTCCCCTTTTGAATGAGGCGAGATTTCAATGGGAATTAAGACTATGACCAGTTTGTATAGCCGCGGGGAAACAGATACTGTATTTATTGCAAAAATAGATTTGACAGGTGGGAATAAGATCAATAAAACCCACCAGGTGGGTCGATGATTGAAAATGGGAAGATGAGGGAAATGAACTGAAAATTTGTGAAAAGAGGACTTCGGAAGTTTGGAGAAACAATTAATAAAAGATCCTTTGGGGAAACTGCAATAAATTAAATTGAAAAAAAGTTGTCGGATCGAAAATGAAGTCTAATAGTAATAAAGAGGAAAAGTTCAGCAAGACCATAATCTGCTTCTAAATAAGATACTAGGACCCTGAAACATCATAAAACCTAGGGAACCTATCACCAAAAAACCTACATATGAGATGCTGGAAGAAAAATTCCTCATATCCACGACTATAATCTGAAACTCTAAATCCGAAAATTCGTACTGTTCAAAATTCTAATCGAACTTGCAACGAATCTAAAACCACAAATCAAAACTTCAAGAACAATGTACCTTAGCTTATCGAAGGGAGGTCCAAATTTAAACGTTATTATCTAGTCAACACTATTCAACCTAATGAGTGTGGTCAAACGGACCTCAAGTAGTTTGAAAAACTGTAAACGCAAAAAAACGGATATCGTCCGACAGAGAGGGAACGTCGAAAATACGGGAGAAAACAAAAAAAATCAATAGCTATGAAGAGGACGAGAATGAACAGATGAGGTCAAACGAACGATTTTTGTACAATGATTCGGGGGTACAAGGGGGTACAACTGATTTAGGGGTACAAAATTGGTGATTCGGGGGTACAAACTATCAATGATTCTGGAGTACAACCCATTTCATTTAGGGGTACAACGCTTGTGATTCGGGAGTACAATTTTTTTTGAGGGAGTTTCTGAATTCCTGAATTTCAGAGCTTGAAAATCTCAGAATTCTTAGAATTTCAGAACTTTGGAATTCCAGTATTTCGGAATCTGAAAATTTCGGAACTTCAAAATCTGAGAATCTGAAAATTTCAGAATTTCAGAATTTCAGAATTTCAGAATTTCAGAATTTCAGAATTTCAGAATTTCAGAATTTCAGAATCAAGATACTTTCAGAGGGCCCTTCTATTACAGGGGCCCTTTAATTAGAGGGAGCCCTTCTAATACAGGTTTAGCTTCAGTATCATTAAACCTACAGTAACAGTAACGTTTTCAAACTTTTTTGACAACCTACCGTAAACTCTTTAATGGTAGCCCTCGCATACATGCACTTTGAGCTCAATTATCTCGGCTCATATGAGAGACATCAAAAATCTGTCAACATATAAAGTGAGGGTGATGATATGATAAACAATTTATCAGTTGACAGATTTTTGATATCTCTCATAGGAATCGAGATAATTTAACCTAAAGGGCACGTTTAGGGTTTACTAGAGCATTGGACCAACTTGAAACTGAATCTGTTGGCGTTGGAGGTCTAGTTGGCGTTGGCGGTTGCGGTTGAAATAGTTCAAAACCGTTTTAAACTCCAACTGCAAATGCTCCGAAATCATCTGTATCGTTTCACGTGACGGCTTTTCAGTGACTTCGAAAATCGCATTAAGGGCTTTCTTTTGAACCTCAGTGAACTTCGTCGTGCGTCGTTTTGGCTTTGAGAGACGCATACTGAAAATAGAAAAAATTAAAAAAAGGAAAATCATTAAAAAGTATGAAACTGACCTAGCTTTTTTCTTCGGAAGCACGCAGTTCACGATTTCCATTCTTTCCTTTTCTGGTAATTGGATCCAGTTATTGTAAAGTTTTGCAGTTGTAATACTTGTTGCTTCATTCAATTTCTGATGTTTCTTTACCATTATTTTCAGGGTCTCGTAATACTATGGCTTCTCATGAACGTTGTTCTCACGTTTTTTTTTGTATTCTTAATCCGCTAATCAAAAACGGAATGCTTGCAAATGCGGATCATAGAAAGCTAATCGAGCAGTATCTGCTCAATGGAACAAGTTCGTTCTTTTTTCCTTTAGAAATAACAAACCGTTATTGCAGAATGTGGATTGTTTGACCCACGAAAACTTGTTCTTTTGTTTTCCCAAACTGATATCGAGCCGACGGTTTCTTCTCTTTCAAATACGGCAAACATGCAGGTAATATACTGAATTTTCGTTGGAGTATATTCAGCTGTTGCAGATTGTTGAGCTTCCACAGAAAGAAAGACTCCAATTGGTTCGGAAGCACCGAGCACGATCACTGTCTATTGCTGGAAAATTCATCAAACATGAGAATAAAGAAATCTGTCCAATGATTTCGGTGATTTCGAAGACGGCATCATCTTTGGTTGAAAATGTAATAAGCTTTTGTGTATTCTAACTGTACATACCCTAATTATTTTAGCATTTCGGTTCAGTCAAAAGCAAAACTTGTTTTGTACGCAAAATCAACTCTGTCGATCAAATGACAGATTGTTCCGGAGATAAGGTGCAAAAGTGTTACAAAGTTTTGGTTTCGTTTTCTGAAGAATCAAGTTCAAAGCTATCAGTAGTGGATGTCGAGGTTCGGAAGTTTCCCTACGTTTATATGAAACTACTTGAATTCAATGTTTAGAATGTGGGATATGAGGAGTTGTTCGATGAGCTACGAAACATCTGTGATTCGTCCCCCAAGATCAGATTCGAATGTGGAGTGGGCGATTTCGAGAGTGCAGACTTAGGGAAAATTGAACGAATCATTGAAACAGTTGTGAAGTCCAAGTTGATTGCAAAAGGTTCTACGATCAGTCGAATTTTTTATAATCATGAAGGTGATTTGAGACAAAGAGATTTGGAGGTGTGGTTTGCTCAATGTCAGGTGAGTTTGTTCGTGAAACGACCCAGGGTTTAATTCATGCGTCGTTTCAGAACTTCACCATCAAACATCACCATCAAACACAACAAATGATGATTACGCAACTTGACAAAGAAGGAAACGTTTTGAGGCAGAAGGAGGACAATAGTTGGCATCAACTGCGCGTTGAAAAATCTCCAGTCAAAGCCACCATAATTTTATCAGCTGTCTCCATGGATGGTGTTGATATTGAATATGTAATAAAAAACTCGATAGCATCAACGAAAATGATTTTTTTTTAGGTCTTGGACATGAGTTCCTTTCGGCTTATCAAACTGGAAACAAATAATAAAGTAAATGTTGACGATATCATTCAGTTTGCCGTGCCGTTCATGATGACATGGGTCAACTCTGAGGACTTGGAGATTAAGTTGGATGTAGTGAGAAGACCAAGTGTGGACTTCAACGCGGAGCGAGAGGATAAGGTACCAACCACTTTATTAAGTTTTTATCAAGTTGACCCCTTTTGACTATTCGAAATCCACCCCTTTTGACTTTTCGAAATCGACCCCGGGTCGATTTTGGAGGATCGAGCAATTTTGCTCGATCGAACTCGCTTCGAGACCCAACTACCGTAACCTCGAGAAATTCGTATTCGTGGCCTAAACTGGCTCCCATAGCAATCATTCTCATTTTTCCCCCATTCCCAAATTTGACCCCTTTTGAATTTTCAAAATCGACCCCTTTTGAATTTTCGACATCGACCCCTTTTGACTTTTCGAAATCGACCCCGGGTCAATTTGGGAGGATCGAGCAATTTCGCTCGATCGATTCGAAAATTTTCCATCATTTTGCTTCAAATTCGCCATGAATAATCGATTTTTGTGCTGTTTCTGGAACTCAGTAAATTTAGAGGTCAATTTTTTCGCTGTTCTCATTGAAGCGCTTTTTCTCTCTTCTTTTAGATTTTCGCTAGATTTTCATTCAATTGAGCTCTATTTTTCCTCATTTTGCTTTAAATTCGCCATGAATAATCGATTTTTGTGCTGTTTCTTGTTCGAAAATTTTGAAATCTTTGCCCTGTCACTCAGTAATTTAGAATTTTTTCCAGAAATTAAGTTCAAATTTTTCGATGATCTCATTGGAGCGCGTTTTTTCTTTTCTTCTAGATTTTCGTTAAATTTTCGCTCGATTTTCGCTGAATTTTCCCTCATTTTGCTTCAAATTCGCCATGAATAATCGATTTTTGTGCTGTTTCTTGTTCGAAAATTTTGAAATCTTAGCCGACACTCAGTAATTTAGAATTTTTCGAGAAATTTAGAGTTCAATTTTTTCGCTGTTCTCATTGAAGCGCGTTTTCTCTCTTCTTTTAGATTTTCGCTGGATTTTCATTCAATTGAGCTCAATTTTTCCTCATTCTGCTTTAAATTCGCCATGAATAATCGATTTTTGTGATCTTTCTTGTTCGAAAATTTTGAAATCTTTGCTGTCACTCAGTAATTTAGAATTTTTTCCAGAAATTAAGTTCAAATTTTTCGATGATCTCATTGGAGACCGTATTCGTGGCCTAAACTGGCTCCCATAGCAATCTTTCTCATTTTTTCCCCATTCCCAAATTTGACAACTTTCGACTTTTCGAAATCGACCCGGGGTCGGTTTTGGAGGATCGAGCAATTTTGCTCGATCGAACTCGCTTCGATCGAGCAACTCGCTTCATTTTTTCCCCATTCCCAAATTTGACAACTTTTGACTTTTCGCAATCGACCCCTTTTGACTTTTCGAAATCGACCCGGGGTCGATTTTGGAGGATCGAGCAATTTTGCTCGATCGAACTCGCTTCGAGACCCAACTACCGTAACCTCGAGAAATTCATATTCGTGGCCTAAACTGGCTCCCATAGCAATCATTCTCATTTTTTTCCCATTCCCAAATTTGACCCCTTTTGAATTTTCAAAATCGACCCCTTTTGGACTTTCCGCAATCGACCCGGGGTCGATTTTGGAGGATCGAGCAATTTTGCTCGATCGAACTCGCTTCGAGACCCAACTACCATAACCTCGAGAAATTCATATTCGTGGCCTAAACTGGCTCCCATAGCAATCATTCTCATTTTTTTCCCATTCCCAAATTTGACCCCTTTTGAATTTTCAAAATCGACCCCTTTTGGACTTTCCGCAATCGACCCGGGGTCGATTTTGGAGGATCGAGCAATTTTGCTCGATCGAACTCGCTTCGAGACCCAACTACCATAACCTCGAGAAATTCATATTCGTGGCCTAAACTGGCTCCCATAGCAATCATTCTCATTTTTTTCCCATTCCCAAATTTGACCCCTTTTGAATTTTCAAAATCGACCCCTTTTGGACTTTCCGCAATCGACCCGGGGTCGATTTTATGATGGTAACCAATTATCATCTCGAATTTCGGAAATCGACCCCGGGTCAAATTATTAAAAAATATGAATGTGAATTTTTTCAGTCGAGATCAGCTCACGAAGCCATGTCATCTACAAACACCAGTCCGCTTTCACCAAAAGACGCTCATACGCTTCCACTCAATGCCGGTGTGACCGATGCCGATGCTCCACAGAACACGTTTGGATGAGCCGGATGAGGTGAGAAAAGTTTCGGTTTCCCTTCGACCTGCGGGTCGTTTTCATGACCGCTTTCATCTCGAATTTCGGAAATCGACCCCGGGTCAATTTTTATATAAAAATGTCAAAAACGTTCAAATTGACCCCGGGTCGTTTTCATGACCCCTTCCTCCAATTTTTGTGTCAATTGAACTATCAATTATATCTAAAAAATTTTTTCCAGTCTACGCACAAGCGGCCAACAATGCCATCGTTGGAGGAACAGTGTGAGAAGGATTACAATGAGATGTGCGTTCAACGAAAAAACGCTGTGACCGATGCCGATGCTCCACAGACTGCTCCAAAAGACTTTCAGCGCGTGTAAAAGGATGTTTTAATGTGCAACGTTTTATGTACGCTGTGTTAGTTCTGCTGATGTCATCGTTCTACATGTAAGAAGGAGAACAGCGTCCGGAAAGAAGAATTGACCCCTTATTACATATACATTTGAACTACAGTCCGCGTCCCCCCAATCCCAAATGAGTGTTCTGAAAAAACTAGGCTGGCCAAAACGGCGTTTTCTGGCGCCACACGCCGCTTTTAATTTTTGCACTGGCCGCCAGTGCCAGTTTTCAAAGCGGCGTGAATCGCCAGCAAAATTTTTCACAGGCATTAAACGCCATGTTTTTAAAATATGAATTTTTCAATAGTAAATATTTCATAGAGAAAAGATTGAAAAAGAAAAAGAAAAAAAAACAAAAACAACAGAATTTGATTCTTCGAAATCGTAAGTTTTTTTATTATTTCAAAGCTACACGGTGGGGCAAAAGTTTGGTTACCAAAGTTTGATACAAGAGGATGCGCACTGACGCACTTTTCGTGCATTACTTAACTTCATATTTCCCCCGTCTTTTCATTAGTAGATGTGCAAAGTTTCATGTTCCTTTCTCAATTTTTACGAAGATGGCACGACTTTTTGTACACCTTATTTGATTTTTTCCTATTTTTGGCGGATCTATAGTTGGGCAAGAAAATGTACTAGGAATACTACTTATTGGGAAAATGGTGCCTGAAGAATTTTAATATTAGACTATCCAAAAAGATGTAGAATCTGCTCACATGGAAAAACATGTTCAGCAGGAAGTGCCAAAAAAGAAATGTTTCAAATTAATTCTAAAAGAGGATGGCTTGTCTCAAGTCAGATCACAATCCGATTGGGAATTCCGTGAGTGGAACTTTTTGAGCATGTGCTCAAGTTTGTTTTCACATGCTTTTGGGTGCTCTCTAAAATATTCTCTCCGCGGAATGGGACGATTTTCCGGCAGACCACCCCCGTGCCAGCATAAAAGTTACTTGAAGAAGTTGAGCCTGTCATCCGAAACAGATCTGCCAGAAGCAAACAACTATGATATAATTTCGTCATAAATCTCTTAGACAAAGTCCTATTAAAATTTGAAGCTTTTTTGACTATTTTCCGAGAAGTTCTGACGTCTTCTTTTATAATAGTTACCAAGCTTTTGCCCCAGGTATCGCTCGATCGTTAGCACCTGGAAAAAACAGGTCATTGGCTAGAAAATCTTTCAAAACCTTCTGATTTTTCTAATTTTCCAGAGACTCGACATAATCCATCCTCGTCTTCTGCTCCCAAGATGATCTGACGAAATCGTAAGTTTTACTTTTTTTTAAAAGGGAAATATAACTATTCTGTTCAACCGAGTAGCTCATTGCAAAAATTTTGTTTGAAAAATAGTGCAGTACTGTAGATCTCTTCAGAAAATACCTTTTTAAATTTTCCAGAAACCCAAAACGATCCCTCCTCATCCTCTGATTCCCAGTTCGATCATTACGCACGCCTTCTGATGGCCCCTCTTGAAGACGGCGTCGTGTTAAACACCAAGTCGCTCTGCGACTCAATTTCTAGAGAGATGAAAGCAAGAAAAATCACGCAGAAGGTTTTCGCAAAAAAAGTAGCGAATCTAAGTCATTACTATCTTCCGCGGATTCTGAGAGCCCCCATGCCGTGGGAGAATGTTTCAAGTTTGGGACGTATGACATATATTCGTCTACATAACTGGATCCAATTACCAGAAAAGGAAAGAATGGAAATCGTGAACTGCGTGCTTCCGAAGAAAAAGGCTAGGTCAGTTTCATACTTTTTAATGATTTTCCTTTTTCTAATTTTTTCTATTTTCAGTATGCGTCTCTCAAAGCCAAAACGACGCACGATGAAGTTCACTGAGGTTCAAAAGAAAGCCCTTAATGCGATTTTCGAAGTCACTGAAAAGCCGCCACGTGAGACGATGCAGATGATTTCGGAGCATTTGCAGTTGGAGTTTAAAACGGTTTTGAACTATTTCAACCGCAACCGCCAACGCCAACTAGACCTCCAACGCCAACAGATTCAGACCGAGAATCAATAAGATTATTTCATTATTATTGCTTTTTCTCATTCGAGAAGACCTTTTTTGAATAATAAATTTTTTTAAATTTACTTTTTTATTCGATTAAAACATTTGAAATGTGTCTGTCATAAGCAATCTTGTTCTAAAACAAGTTTCAAGTGGGTCCAATGCTCTAGTAAACCCTTAACGTGCCCTTTAGGTTAAATTATCTCGATTCCTATGAGAGATATCAAAAATCTGTCAACTGATAAATTGTTTATCATATCATCACCCTTACTTTATATGTTGACAGATTTTTGATGTCTCTCATATGAGCCGAGATAATTGAGCTCAAAGTGCATGTATGCGAGGGCTACCATTAAAGAGTTTACGGTAGGTTGTCAAAAAAGTTTGAAAACGTTACTGTTGCTGTAGGTTTAATGATACTGAAGCTAAATCTGTATTAGAAGGCCCCCCTCTAATTAAAGGGCCCCTGTAATAGAAGGGCCCTCTGAAAGTATCTTGAAACAATAAAAGGGCCGGCCCTTCTCTTCCAATACAGGTTTTACGGTATAGGTATGCACTTTTGACAAGTTAAAATCGAAATTCTCAAAATCGGTTTTTAATAGAACTGTGAAATATCACATGAGGCATCAGAAAGGCTAGACAGTCAGAGCAAGGCCCCGTTATGGATGATTCTCTTTTTCTCAGCCTCTCCACTGCGTTCTCGCTTTCCCACGAGGAGTGTTTGCATGGGACAACTCATGGGGGTGTCATAGCAATGTTTGCTGTCCGTAGGTAACCCGAGGAGAACTTCTTTTCCATACGTCCACATTGTTAGTCCACGTTCTCGAAGAACACAATGAGTGACAGTAATCTCCACCAATCTTCCGTATCTCCACTGATAGAAACCCACCCAAACCGTCAACTTTGAGCTCAATTATCTCGATTTCTGTGAGAGATATTTAAAATGTGTCAACTGATAACTTGTTTATCATAATATCACCAATCTTTTATCAGTTGACACATTTTTAGTATCTTTCCTATGAACCGAGATAATTGAGCTCAAAGTTCACGTTTATGGTAGGCTTCTTGAAAGGGCTACACGCAGTGTCAAGTTTGAGCTTAATTACCGTAAAACCTGTATTAGAAGGACCCCTTTAATAGAAGAGCCCTCTGCAAAAAAGGACCCCTCCGAAATGTGTCTTGAAATCAAAATATGTCGGTGCGTTTTCAGTTAAAAATTTTTCTGAAATTCCACAATTTAAAGGTGGGGGGACATGAAAAAAAATAAAGTTCTCGATATTCCGTCTAAATATGCCCCTCGAGGAGTTGAACTTGTGAGGACGAGGATGGGGGGTGCGGCGCCGCTACCGACTGAGCTACGCGGGCAAAGAGAGAGCGGCACCTCGATTGCATACATAAATGCGAGGACGACAGATGTACGCAGAGTGACATTAAGCGTTGTACACCGTCACGGTAGAATGCATACTCTGGCCCCAAAAATCCCCCGTAAAATCTCCTGTCCCCCCATCTTTAATAGAAATTGGTTGGAAGACTACTTTTTTGATTAAAAAAACTGCTCAATTTTGGTGAAATTGATAGATTTTCATGAATTTTGGAAGATATATCACTGCCTTTTTGATGATAAATTCCGGAAAAAATGACTGGAAGAATAGAAAAGCCCCTCTAATTGAAGGGCCCTCTGAAAGTATCTTGGAAAATAAGAAGGGCTGGCCCTTCTGATACAGGTTTTACGGTATCTAAATTCCTATGCGTGATATTAACATTTCGTCAACGAATAAATTACTTATCATGATATCATCAATATTTTATCAGTCGACAAATTTCTGATATCTTTTAAAGGAACCCAGATAATTGAGCTCAAAGTTGACGATTTGGTAGGGCTTCTATGGAATACGGTAACTTAACTAAATGTTGTGTCTCAACTCCATGTTATCATTATTTATTAGAACAAGCAACATAAAGAAAAGTTTGAGATGAGGAGGGTGATCGAAAAGAAAGGAAATCAAAATAAATCAAAATTCATAACAGTGAGATACGATTCAAAAAAAGCAACCCGAATTGTCTTTTCAAAACCAGACTGGCAAATAACTGGCTCCATAATTTTCCTGCCCCTCTCGAATTGCTCTCCCGCTTGTTCTTGGATACTCCAGACAAGGCGGAAAACGGAAACGGACTTGTTGGCGCTGAGCAGGGACTCCTGGTGGTGGCACGTTAGAAGGCGTGTGTGGAGTTTGCACTTGTTGTGGTGGCATGTTGAAGGAACTTTGTCTCATTGGGGATGATGGTTGAGAATGGCTGGGGGGTCCATGAGGAATGGAATAAGACGTGGGTCTGATGGGAGTCATCGTTGAGGTGGGGGTCTCCGATATTTGAGCAGCCGGTCGCTTGCGAGGATGGAATTTGTAGTTTGGGTGCTCCTGGAATTGAGCAATTTTGAAAATCGGGAATTCAGGAATTCGGCAATCGAGACATTCGGAAAATCGGAAGTTCGAAAATTCAGAAATTCGTAAGTTCATGAATTCAGAAATTCAGGAATTCAGAATTTCAGAATCTCAGAATCTTGGAAACTCGGAAATTCAGAAATTGAAAAAATCAAAACTTCGAAAATTCAGAAATTCGGAAGTTGAGAAATTTTCAAAAATCGAAAAATTCCCAAAAAAAAGAAACATTTCTGAAAATTCTAAAAACTCAGTAAAATTTAATTCATGAAGAAAAATCTGAAAATGTTCGAGATATTCAAAAATTCGAATTTTAAAGATAAATTCAGAAATTTTAGAACTGAAAATTTTAAGAAAAAAAATTCCCGAGAAAATTCGAAATTCCAAGAAATCTAAAAAATTGAAAAAAAAGTAATTCGACCTACTGTATCTCGGCTCCTGTGAAAGATATCAAAAATTTGTCAACTGATAAATTATTCATCAAGATATCAATAACATTTTATCAGTAGACAACATTTTGATAACTTTAACAGGAACCAGAATAACTGAGCTCAAAGTTGATAATTAGAAAATTTTGATAAACTTTTTAGAAGCCCAGGTTATCTTGTACGTGCACTTGGAACTCCATTATCTTGGTCTCTATAACAAATAACAAAGATCTGTCAACTGATAAAATATTGCTGATAAAATGCTAAATAATTTATCAGCTGACAGAATTTTGATATCTCTCGCAGGAACCGAGATAATTGAGCTCCAATTGGCATGCCCTTCTATTACAGGTTTTCCGGGATATACTGTAGATTTAAAAAAAACCAACCTCATAAACTTGCTTCTTCAATTTCCCGGCTTCGTCATAGAATGGTTTTTTCTCCGCCGCTGACATATTTGCCCATGCTGCACCCAACCGCTTACAGATTTCCGATGAAGGAAGATTTGGCTCAGTAATCGACATATCGGCTCTGCGTTTTCGAAAGAAGATCATATAAGGATTCAGCGGTCGTTTCACGTATTCTTCTTGTGGTTTTGGACTCTCCACTTCTCGTGCAACTTCGAAGCTCCGCGGTGGGCTCTCGACTTTCGTTGGCGCCATTGATGGATTATCTCTTTGAATCTTCAATTGTCTTTCTTTGGCAAAATAGTAGTCTCTCTCTTCAGCTGGTATGTGGTGTCTCCAAGCGGTTTTCATTTTTGTCACGACTTCAAATGGAAGCTTATTCGGATACATTTCATCGAATTTCTTCTGATTATCCGCACGCCACATTCCAAATGCCAGGGTTGGTGGTTTTTTGGTGGAGTCGGAGGTTTTTTGAGAGGGGGATTCTTGGTATTCCGGTGTTGTCGATCGACTGGGATCTTGCGATATGTGATGATGCATTTTGGCTGGAAAAATCGTAATTTATTGAAGATGAAAATGAAAAGCAGAGTAGGTCGAGTAGAGCAAACATTCAGAAAGTTTCAAATATCGCCATTACCGTAAAACCTGTAATAGAAGGGCCCATTAAGTTTGAGCTAAATTATCTCGGTTCCTATCCAAGATATTAAAAAAGTGTCAACTGATAAAATATTTGTGATATAATGATAAACAATTTATCAGTTGACAACTTTGCTATATTTTACAGGAACCGAGATAAATCAGCTCACAGTTGACTGTTTCGGAAAAATAATTCTAAGCATTTCCACAACAACGGGAATTTGAAAAAAAAAATCAGAAGTATCAATTAAAAGCGAATTTGCAAAATTATTTAAAATTTTGAAAAAAAAACCTTTTTCCGGAAATTTGAAATTTTGAGTTTGGTAAAAAATACTAATAAATTCGCAAATTTATCGGTTTTTTTTTCGAAATTCAAGTTTTTAACAGTAAGAAATTACGGTTTTTCCGTAAAAACTCAATTATGCAAATGCGCTCTATTGATAAAATTTGCATTTTTCATTGAATCTATTGGCAATGGTTTCTAACTTTTTTCTAATTTTTTTTTGAAAAATTTCGCTCCACGAAAAAAATAATTGTAAAAAATTACTCAAAAATTTTTGAATTTCCAAAAGAAAATATGCAAATTTGCTCAATTGAAAAATAATTTTTTTCAAAAAAAGAAATCATTAAAAAATCAGTTTTTGGCAATATAAAATACGTTTGTGACATAGAGAGCGTTCAAAAACGGATAAAAAAGAGCAAACGGAGATTTGGTGGGCGAAAAAAGGGAGAAAAGAGAGGGGAAAAGAGAGAAAGACACACAAGACCGTCTGTTCATTGAGAGGTCACACACACACAGCACAGCACAACTGCGCCTTTAATTACCCTGACAATGGAAGAAAAAGGGACATTTTGGATGGGGGGGGGGGGGGGGGGGCTGTCTGTCTGTGTCTGTCTGTGGTCTTAATCCCACTGCCACCTGTCACTTTAGACTAGGTTTTTCCCATAGAATAAGGTTTTGATCTCCTCAGTGTGATTTTCGGCACAAAATTTTCGGAAAAAACGTTTTTCTTTTTTATTAAGAACAGATATTTTCATGATTTTCAAAAAATTTTGCAGAGCAAAAATTTCGCAACCGGACGTTTAAGAATTGATAATTCGAAAAATAAGGTTTTCTCAATTTTTTAACGTTCAAATAATAAATTTTCAAAATTTTTTTTTCAAAATTTTCAAAATTTTTTTTTCAACATTTTGTACGAAATTCGCTGATTTCAAAAACATGACTTTGCAAGAATTCACACGCTATCTCAGGCTCTAAATTCGAATCGCGAGCTTTTCTACTCAATGGAGCGCGCTTGCCCGCCGCCGAAAATCTTGGCACATTTGGTCGGAAAAATGGGGTTTCATCAATTTCCGTCGTTTTCCTCAAAATTTCTTTCGTATTGAATCGTTTTTTAGTTCAAAACACACACATTTCATATGCAAAATGAGCCAGTTTGGACCAAAAATACAGATTTTCCAACATTTCGAAATACTGAAATTCCTGAAAATTTTGGTTTTGAGAAAATTTTTTTTGAAATAAACTGTAAAATAGCGATTTTCGAATTTTTTTAAGCTTTCTTTTCGTTAAAAAATTTCGAAAAATATAAATATTAGAATTTTCAAAAAATCGCAAAAATGTTTATTTTCATATTCAGAATTTTTCATAACGAGGTATTGCTTAAAAATGGTTAATTTTTGACTTTTTGAAAAATAAGAATTCTGAAACTTTCCGAAAATATAAAATATTGCATTTTTTTGTACTAATTTTCACTTTCTTCAAAGATGGGGGCGGAAAAATTCGAAAAATGGAAAAAAGGAAAAAAAAACAAATTTTCTGCATAAAAATATCAAATCGCGCTCTGCAAAAAAGAAAAAAATGCAGTGCAAAAAATGCCAAATTAAAAAAAAGCAACGAAAAAAAAATATTTTTTGCACACGACATTCGTGTAGTCCTCTCGGACAATCGGTCGACAGTGTGTGGCTAATGAGACGCAGACAGTGGGAGGGATTAGATGGAGAGTGCGGCCAAATTGAAAGAAGACAATTTCGAAAAAATTCATTTATTCACAACCAAATTCAAACAGCACAGCAACAAAAAAATATGCAAAATAAAAATTTCAAAAAATACAAAGAACTCATTTCGGGATCAAATTCGAGTGATTTCCCAAAATCATATGTGTGGTGAATTCATATTTATTCTGAAACTGAATTCCACACAATCCACATTTTAAAGGATCATCTGGAGAGTGTGTGTTCGCGTGGATATCGTACATGAAGTAGACTTTGAATGTAATTCCACATGTAGTGCAGGACTGAAAATTGGATTTCAGAATTATAGTTTGAGCTCAGTTATCTCGGTTCTTTTGAAAGATGTCAAAATGGGTCACCTTATAAAATGTTTGTGATAACTTGGTAAACATATTGACAGTTGACAACTTGTTGATATTTCGCATAAGAACCGAGATAATTGAGCTCAAAATTGGCTAGACTTCTGTATTGAGCATTTACGGTAGAAGGTCGCCCCACACTACCAACTTTAAGCTTATTTTTTTCGGTTGCTGTCAAAGATATGAAAAAGTTGTCAACTGATAAATTGTTTATCATAATATCAGAAGTTTATTGTCAATTGACAACGTTTTTATAACTTTCAAAGGAACCGAGATAATTGAGCTCAAAGTACACGTATAGAAGAGGCTTCCTAGAGAGGCCCCCAAGCTGTGAAGTTTGAGCTCAATTACCGTAAAACCTCTAATAGAACGACACCCCGATCGTCCACTTTGAGCCTATATATCTCATTTACTGTGAAAGATATCAAAAAGTGGCTAACTAGTAAAATGTTGCTGATATCCTGATAAACATTTTACTAGTAAACCACTTTTTGATATCTTTAAAAGAAATNANANANATAGGCTCAAAGTGNACGATNCCGGNGTGTCGTTCTATTAGAGGTTTTACGGTATCTCGGTTTCCTTGCAAGATATCAAAAATTTGTAAATTGATAAAATGTTTATGATATCATGATAAACAATTTATCAGTTGACAGATTTTCAATAGCTCTCACAAGAATCGAGACAAATTGGCTCAAAGTTAGGGGCTCCTAAACTTACCAGATCCTTGTATGGGTCCGAATTTTGGGGCGATGGAATGTCAAGAAATTCTCGATTCTCAATTTTCGAATTAAAATTTTTAGGAACGGGTGTATTATTTTGTTGAGCCAAAATATCAAAGAAGCTTGGCTGGACAAATTCCAGATTTTCAGGAGCCGGGTCCTAAAAATATGTTGTAAAAATTTGAGAAAAATATTCAAACCTCACCTTATACAGATCCAGTTTTTGTTCAGAAATCCCAAATTTCAAAAAATTCTCCTTTTTCGAAACTTCCTGCTCCTTCCAGGTCTCGGCTTCCAGCTCCGGACTCGGCGATGGCTCTACAGAAGCTTCAGAAGAAGTAATATTTGAAGATGACGTTGAAGAAAAATCCGGATTCCAATTGGAATTGTATTTGAGCATGCCCAGAAGTTGATTTACTATCTCATCATTTGAATTTTGTGGAATTTCCGGAAATCCAGGAATCGACAAATCCACGTCATTTGAGGATGTGCTCAAGTAGTCATGATCTTTGAGTTCTGGCATGTTCTGGAGAGTTGAAAATGTCTGAAATTCTCATTTTTAGAATATTCTATCTCAAGTATTAGGTTGTTCGGAAAGTCCTTTCCATTTTTGATCTGTTGTTTTCAAACTTTGTTTTTTGAACGGGGTAAAAGCGAGGAAGCTGCCGTTTTATCAGCATGCTAGTGAGGTCTAATAGTGTCTGCACCCCAACGGAGACCATTCCCCCCTTTTCGTGTAATGAGATATGCTCACCGTTTTCGGCTCTATTAATTTCCATTTTTGGACTATCATTTTAATTGTATTTATATCTGATCTTAAACTAGCTGAATTCGATCGCCAACTATTAGGTTGGCGGGAAAGTCTTTGTCACTCTGTTTGTTTAATCACTGTTCTCGTATATGGAGGCTGTGTATGATATCGACTCTAGTGAATAACAAGGTGATAAGAACCTTCCATATAAACAAGTCCCCATCTCCTTCCCTGCTCCTCATCTGTAATTGAAACGATATGTTTGTTCCCACTGCTATTCACATCAGACATGTTTTGATTTACCTCTTCCTATCTCACACCACGATGAAGGATTCGGAAACTTTCTTGAAGAATGTGTACAACACACATGTCCCTCACTACAATACTATTCGCAATTGGTTCCATCGTTTCGAAAAAGATGACTTCTCGCTCGATGAAAAGGATCGCTCTGGGAGACCCCGTGAGTTGGATTTGGACAAGCTGAAGCACGCATTGCAATCGGATCCATTTCAATCTAGCCGTGAACTAGCTGTCACATTCGGAGTTCACCATAGCACAGTCCTTGAAGGTTTGAAGTCTCTTGGAATGAGAAAACTTTTTGGTCGATTCATACCTCATCACCTGACTCAAGCCAACCTTGACCGCCGAGTCGACGATTCGATTACTCTTCTCACTCTCCACGCGGGCGATCGATGGCTGGACCGGCTAATAACCGGAGATGAGAAGTGGGTCTTCTACGATAATCACCACAGGAAATCCCAGTGGGTTGGAGAAGGAGAGAGCCCACAGGATGTCCCCAAACCCGACCTTCATCCGAAAAAAGTTATGCTCTCTGTGTGGTGGGGAGTGGACGGCCCCATCTACTGGGAACTTCTGCCCGAGGGCAAAACAATAACTGGAGACCTCTACACTACTCAACTACGAAACCTCAAGAAAGCAGTCGACCGTTCGGCCCTGAAAGACAAGAAAGTGTACTATCAACATGATAACGCTCGCCCACATGTTTCGAAACAAGTGAAGCAGGAGCTGATGGGATATGGATGGAATGTTCTCCCTCACCCCCCGTATTCTCCTGATCTTGCTCCTTCCGACTATTGGTTATTTGGCGTATGACACGTGCCTTCGAAGGAAGAAGCTTCAATTCCCGTGGAGCGGTCGAAGCGGCACTCAAACAATACTTTGCCTCACGCCCGGCTGGATTCTACCGCAATGGAATCCATAAATTGAGGGAACGTTGGAGACATGTTGTTGATAATGATGGACAATATAATTAATTATTCGGTTATTTTTTCTTTGAGAAATAAACTATTGAAAAAGTGACAAAGACTTTCCCGCCAACCTAATAGTAGCGGTTAACAACGCAAATGCACCCATTCGAACTACCATCACAACCTGGATTCAGTAATTTGAAAAGCGGGAATTTTTGTTTGACGAAAATCCCCCTTCAAAAAGGCAAATGGGCTTAGGTTTGGATGCATTAAAAGCCGGGATCGAGAGGGACCCGTCTCAACTGTGTGGGATATATAAAGTACATCAGTGGCAAGCCTTTTGTTAAAAAACCGTAGATTGAAAACTCTCGGCACAGTCAAAAAAGTGGGAAGAAATTGATCCCATCTTTTGGCTCAACGCAACTTTTTTCCCCGGGTGGGCACCTGTTTAAATCTTCTCATCCTGCGTTGCACACATGAATGTTGGAATCAAACCATTGCTAGTGGTGATAAATGGGTAATGTGTGATTACAATAAGCAACATGCCAAGTGGGTTGACAAAGGCGCTCAACCACCAGACGTCTCGAAACGTGAAATTCGTGTTAAAAAATGGGATGTTGTCGGTATGGTGGTCTACCAAAGAATGGAGTATTAGGAGCTGCCTGATAATAGTGTCACTTTTACGACCCATACCTATTCTTGTCAGGTGACATAACTCAGACTTTATGTGGATCTCGATTGGAGAGGAACGCAAAGGTTTATTTTGAAAATTAAAATTCGCAACCTCATGCGGGAAGGAAGACCCAGGCCGATCTCGGTGGATATGTCTAGACGATTCTGCCTTATTCACTGTATAGCTCTAACCTTCTACTTTCTGATTATTACCCATCCAGCCACTTCTAACGTCATCTTGATTGACGAAAATTTACTTCAAAACAACGTATCAAAAATGGGTTGACCTGATTTTGAACTCGCTGTGACCGGAGTTCTGGAAGGAAGGCATCCACAATTTAGTGGGGCATTGACAGATAGTCATTGATAACGATGGTCATTACCTCCAATTTATCCGACATCGTTTTGACCTATTTTACTTTGAATGTATCTGACGCTAAAAATGGAAACGACTTTCCGAACAACCTAATAGCTAGGCCGTGACCTGGTAAATCTAGAGTATCAGGTCATGACCTGGAAAATTCAAAAAGTTAGGCCATGACCTAGAAAATCCAAAAATTATGTCATGACCTAGAAAATCCAAAAAACTAGGCCATGCCCTAAAAATCCGATGAAAATTACCTCATCTTGACACGAATCAATATAAAAATGAACTTGAAGACGTTTCAAATTCGGGAATTTTTTTCGGCATTTTTTACACCCTATCATATGGTTTTCCTGGGTTTTGCTTGTATCCTGAAGGTGTTCCATCAAATTTGAATACGTTGAAAATTGCTCATCACACGCCGGACATTCAAAATTCCACATTTTTTTGATATGAGTCATTTGATGATCCAGCAACTGAAAATTGGGATTTTGAACATTTTTCAAAACATTTTCTTACAGTATCTTGGCGGGTCTTTTCAATTCCACAGACTTTGCATTGAAACAGCTGTTGATTCTTATGTTGTACCCGGTGACGGATTAAATTTGACTAAAAATTTTAACTTCATTATTATGGTACGAAAAATCGGAGCCGAAGGTCCCACAACGCCAACTACCGTAACCTAAAAATATTTTCATTTTTGCGAAACTCGAAATAATGAATCCGGAAAAATATATGTTTTGGTTACTGTAGTTTCTTATCGATAGTTTTGTACCTGAATGAAAACTCACTCTGTTACCGTATTGAATTTTACACACATCACACTCATACATTCTTTTGTTGGGGAATCGTTCATGGGCTTCCTGAAAATTGAAAATTTAGAACCCCCCCCCCCCCCCCTTGAAACTTACAATATGCCTTTTCAAAAATGGAGGGTTTGCTGAGATGTAATTGCAATGTGGACATTTTGAATCGAGAGGTTTTCCGTCATCTGAAATTGAGAAAGTTACCGTACATGTCCACTTCAAGCTCAATTATCTCGGTTGCTATGAGAGATATCTAAAATTTTCAAACATATAAAATGTTTATCATAATATCAGTAATATTTTATCAGTTAACAATTTTTTGATATCTCTCATAGGAACCGAGATAATTGAGCTCAAAGGCACGCATAGGATACTGAGCATTGACGGTAGAAGGACCACCCACACCGTCATGTTTGAGCTCAATTATCTCGATTCCTGTGATAGGTATCAAAAATTTATCAATTGATAAAATGTTTATCATAACGTCAGTAATATTTTATCAGTTGATTAATTTTTGATATCTCTTATAGGAACCGAGATATTTGAGCTTAAAGAACACGTTTCCCATTTTCTCAACAAATCAAAACTCACTACAACTGGGCATTCCTTTGCTCAGACACTTTTGATATCGACAGTATTCACAATATAGTTTCACATAATAGTTTCTGGTCAAAATTGTGATATTACAGTTCTGGTAAAACCTGCATCGGAATTCGTTATCCGATCCCACGCTTCGATAGAATCCCTAAAATTTTGAATATTTGAACTAAAATTTTGATTTTTTGAAAGTGAAATTTTGAACCGAAATTTCAAAACCTCTGAAATTTTGAAAACTTTTGGGGCGTAAAAAATTTGAATCAAAGCCTACCCTACAGCTTTCACATGTCATCACTCCCTTGCATCGCATGAATCCGTTGTCTCCACAGATTTTGCAAATTTTCTTCTTTTCATTTTCATTTTCTTTGGGAAGTTCTGGTTCTAATGAGTTGGCAGAATCCATGGCACCTGAAAATTTAGAAATACTGTAGAGCATGTAATAGAAGGGCCCACACTTTGATATCAATTATCTCGACTCCTATGTAAGGTATCGAAAAAGTTCAACTGATAAAATTATTCCGATATTATGATAAAGAATTATCAGTTGATAACTTTTTGATATCTTTGACAGGAAACGAGAAAAATTAGCTCAAATTTAGGGGCCCTTCTATTACAGGTATTACGGTAGTTGACTAGAAAAGAGAAAGAGAGAAAGAGAGAGAGAAAAAATATATAAAATACGAAAAAAAAAGGAGACGACTCTGTATTGTCGAATTAAAAAAAAAGTGGGACCTGAAAATTTGAAAATCTTAGCTTTTTTTGATCTACGAAAAAGTGCGGCAAAAAACGTAATATTTCAGATTTTCGCCTCGTTCGAGCTACTTTCGCAATTAAGTTCGGTTTTTCGATGAAAAACAGATTTTAGAGATGCTAGCGATCATTTTCATACCAAGAAATCTAAATTTTGTCCAGAAAATCCCACTGGATTCACAGAAATAAGTTTGGTTTACTACGGTAGTGATTTTGAGGCAAGGCCTAGAAAATTGACTTTGAAGCCGCCCGCACTTGGGTTCAAGCCAATGGGTCAGAAATCGCGCCCCAGTAAACTTGAGATTTTAGAAAAAATTCGTTGCTGAATTATGTGGCTGAGG